CGGATATAGGTACAACATCTTCACGCACATACTTTTCCTACATCATTCAAATGTATTAAATACCGGATACGTTTAATAGACACCAACGAAAGAAAAGTTTAATGAGGGGGGAATACCCATATATATCCTCTCTGAAATAACTCCCTTTTAAAATAACAAATGTACAACACATCTTCCCTAACGTATCATAAATACGGGACACTGCTCACACCATTTATGAATGGGATGCTTCAGGCGAGGCTGGTATGTTGACATTAATTGTAAGGCCGGGGTATGTTGACATTGTTATGGGCGGTCGGTGGCTTAGTCTCTCTGCTATACATTAGCTATGAATAAACCTACTTCGACATATATTTCCAATAAAACATTTTCCTCGTCAAACAATTTTCCATGATAAACTCTGTTCTCTCTTCGAATTAAGGGTGAGTATTGTAAACATGAAAATGTCCTATAGATGGCTTCCATCACTTTCCCAACAAACCTAGCTTCGTGCCGTCACACGGGCACATGTACTCATCAGTTTCTTATTGAACATAGACATGGTTCTAACTATCTATTTTCAAAATAGCACGTTCTGAAGTAAAACTGTGCACATCATGATACACGGTTAAAACTCAAACCGTACGGTTTATTTGTCATCGCGTTAAATGGAAACGCTAGCGTTGAAACATCAACTATGCAAGTCGGGACAGGGCTGAATAATTCTTTACAAATGGTTCACAATAGTACGCAGCGCGGGGTGATTCGAAATCCGGCTGCCTTCAGCGTTATAGTCAATGCAGGGTGACGTGACTACCTCGTTCTTGCGCGCTAAATGTAATTAAACGACACTGCTAGCTTACTGATTGCGTAGTCTTATCTATTTTGTCTCTATGTATTTTTTTCGATATAGGTTGTCTAACGTTCGTGGTGTACAACGTGTAGACCGTATAAGATGGATCTGATCCAGCTAGACGTACAGTTTTTTTTTCCTACATTACCCGGCGTATATCGTGTTGACTTAACCCGTCTCCATTGTGGTACTTATACTTTCAACACACACCCTGCATTCATCAAAACCAGGTCGCACGCTCTAGCGAGCACGGGTTAAACGACGAGGCCACGTCAGTTGTTAAGCGCGCTTAATTCAAACTGGGCTGACGGGTACGGTCTGTCTATTCAAGGCAGCACGCTATACACATAGCTCTATTCATAACCTTTTACTTTTGTTTTCTTATGAATTCTTTTCTGTCTTATAAACACACACCTTTCATTCCCCCTCACCTGTGACGCGCTGTTGATGCATGAGTCATCCTATCCGATCACGTGACTTGGATCAGCCAATCACCTTCGCATCCGCCTGGATCAACCGGATCAACCAAAAAAGGTTCCTGCCTACTGACTCTATACTACTATTCACCATTCACTACACCTGGTCAATCTAGTCGCCTCATTCGCCTAGCAGAGGGACTGGGCTACCCTTGGCTTCAATTGCTGATTGCAAAAGAATCGAGCGTATCTAAACTGAGGGGCGAAGATACTATACCTATCCGTTGATTTCATCACAAATTATGTTATTTCCCCTTGTCCAACATCGATATCAAAGGGAGGTAACCATATCCTCGCGGCAAACGGAAAAAACACACACACGTGCACGCACGTCGCTATACAAGTGCAATAATCTTGAATGCGACGTTAAATCCCATTTCACCTCGCCCACTAACAGGTCACTAACTTAGATTTGATGACCTTTGTCCTTGCTGAAGGCGTGTCATCATGACCTGACGGCTTGAATCGTTGCCCATGTTTTAGTAACTGGATTGTCTAGTCCAGATAAGATTATATATAATAATTACTGATATTGATGGAGTATTGTGGTTTAATCATTCTCACATTTACATCTGTACAACTCTGTTGTAAAATAATAAAAACACAGCAAAGTAATGAAACTTGTTTTTTGAAGTACCCATAAAATATCGCCTTTGCACTACATATTCTCCCCAGTCATCAATGCACTTCACATTGTGTTGTTTGTTTGTTTGTTGTATAACGAGAACGTAGCAATATTCCAGCTATATGCCAGCCGTCTGTAAATAGTCAAGTCTGGTCCAGACAATCCAGTGAAGTATATCATGAGCATCGATCACGCAATTGGGATACAATGACATGCATCATTTAAAGCAAGCATGGGTTCCTAAAGACAACTATACATCGCGAAATCTGTACGTGTTTTGGGGCTGACAAGAAGGAGATTGTTTCGAGTAACATTCAATCTGCACATGGTTGCATAAGTAACGGTGACACCAGATCATGCGCCCGCACATAAAACCTAATACGACATTTACGATCGTGAACCTTCTTGACCTACTAAAGTACAACATTTGAGTTGACACGTTTCGTCGCACCACATATCACTTCGCTATAAACCCATAATTGATAGTTTGAAAAAGCCGTTAACATGTCTGAATGGCCTCCAGCGGGTTGTTTTCATGTTTTCTCCTCGAGATGATGGTCGTGCTTGAGGCCGTTAAGCGTTGACGACCTTGAGAGCAAGATCCCCTGTGTTGGCTTGAACAAACGTGACTCCATGTTGCTCTGCCAAACAGTAGCTCATGGGTAGAGCTTCATAAATTGTGATCGGAAGGATCAGAATGTTTTAAAGGTAAAAGCTGCAATACTGTACATCTGAGTGGCCTGTGACAAGTGAAATGATAGTTACACTGTCGGATCGTGTAGCTTCCATGCCTTTGGAGAGAAAAGAGGGGCAGTTTTAGTTTTGTCAAACGGAGGCTTAATAATTAGATCTGTTCCTGTGGCATGGCGGTTTCGTGATGAAAACGTTCCTGTCACCGGACACTTGCTTGATGAGATCAGTTCATGTTGCATGACAGTTTCACGATGAGATCAGTTCATATTGCATGACAGTTTCACGATGAGATCAGTTCATGTTGCATGACAGTTTCACGATGAGATCAGTTCATGTGACAGTTTCACAATGGGATCAGTTCATGTTGCATGACAGTTTCACGATGAGATCAGTTCATGTTGCATGACAGTTTCAAAAAGAGATCAGTTCATGTTGCATGACAGTTTCAAGATGAGATCAGTTCATGTTGCATGACAGTTTCACAATGAGATCAATTCATGTTGCATGACAGTTTAACAATGAGATCAGTTCATGTTGCATGACAGTTTCATGATGGGTGAGGTTCATGTTGCATGACAGTTTCAAGATGAGATCAGTTCATGTTGCATGACAGTTTCACAATGATATCAGTTCATGTTGCATGACAGTTTCATGATGGGTGAGGTTCATGTTGCATGACAGTTTCACGATGAGATCAGTTCATGTTGCATGACAGTTTCACGATGAGATCAGTTCATGTTGCATGACAGTTTCAAGATGAGATCAGTTCATGTTGCATGACAGTTTCACAATGAGATCAGTTCATGTTGCATGACAGTTTCATGATGAGATCAGTTCATGCTGCATGACAGTTTCACAATGAGATCAGTTCATGTTGCATGACAGTTTCACGATGAGATCAGTTCACGTTGCAGTTTCATGATGAATAAATAACAACTATTACGGATGTTAAATGTGGGTTATCATGTGAATAGCGTCGTGCCTGGGAGGAAAATACTAGTACAAGGAAGTAAACGCTACCATTTGTTTGTCGACTGTTACATGATAACGATAATACAGGTAATACGTGCAACGATTCGTGCGTAGGGAAATATAGGAATTTGCCGCGTCTGTTTAATTTGGGACTTATAAGAGATACACATTGGAAAACGGTCCAACCTTTGACCCTTGATTCGTGTTTATAATACGACATATTTGTTACACGTCGTTCAAACTGTGTACCCCCGAAAACAATTCCACCCTGTGATTAGATCTAAGTCATTCAGCAAAACACTGATACGAATCAGTTGTAATCTGCGTTAGATTTTATATTGTTTCACTATTGTTGGCATGTGGAAACCTTTATCTGGCATGTATAACCCCCAAAAATATCTAGCATGTATAATAAACATATTATCTAATATCTATAGCTCACATTTAAAATAGGATCTATAACCATCCTTTTATCTAGCACCAATAACTCACTTATTATCTACCACTTATGACCCATATTGTATCTTGTATTTAGGTCAAAAGGGACAGAAAATGCAATAACATGAATGATTTCATTGGATTTATCAAAAAGGACAACATCAGGTTTGTTGGCCTGGACAAGCCTGAGGCCTCATACGAACCTATTCCAAAGCATATTGTATATATCATTTTCATGACGCCCTCTACATATTCTGGGTCGTACCATAGATGGACCATATCATATAAGTATTATTATGTACAGATTAAAATTTAAAAAATGCAGCAAAGAGGGTTCGGGTGATCCTGACACAGTCTCAGGCTGGTTAGGCTCATCATCAGCTCTGGGTCCTAGCCCCCTCTCCATGCAACCGAGACAGCTAATGGGACTTCTCCCGGGAAGCGCTGCCTAGTCAAACCCACCCTGAACCTTTCGGGGAATGTGAAGACTCCCCAACACTGCAGCCTTCTGCATTACCCAGATTGTCAGAAGGGTTGTATTCCTGTTAGCAAACCCAGGTAGTCTCCTAATGTCTGTCAACAGATTGGGAGGTACCAAACCTAAGGCACATTAGTGTCAAAAGGGAGAGAAAAGTCAATGATATAAATGATTTCATTGGATTTATCAAAACGGACAAGATCAGGTTTGTTGGCCTGGATACGTCGGAGGCTGTAAACGGGCCTATTCCAAAGAATTGTGTATTTATGATTTTTCATGACGTCCATGGACCGTCTCATTTAATTCATTACATAATCTACATTTCATATTTACATTTTGATGCAAAATCACATATTGATGGTTTCGAGTGGGAAGTGACTGGTCCTGAGCAGCAAAGAGAAAGCCTTCTGTTTCACTTTTCAGGCCAGCCGACCTCATCCAAGGGAAAGCCTCAACAAACTGCACATAAACTCGATGCAGTGGTCGTTAAGTACATTAGTCTAAAGTACATGTGCAGGTCACTGATTGTCTTCAAGGGCGTTAACGCCTCCAGGTGTCCATGAAAGGACATATACTTCCATCAATGTACATGCATGATAGGGCATTGTGTACAGTCAGCAGTATTATTGGTAAAGATGTTGGGAAAACTGGTTAACCTTGTTCTTCACACACGACCGAGTCACGTTTACGGGAACACACGGAGCGCATTCCGTGTTCAGGCTACCTACGTATTGAAGCGGATCTCCAAGCACGTCTCCACCCTGAATGAATGCACCCATGTAACAGAGTCCAAAAGAACATGGCTCGCCTAAAAATCGCCAGTGTCTTGATCTATGGATTCGCATGTGGCGTCATACTATTAGCATTATCTACGCTTCACAAGTATTACACAAAAAAGGATAAATCGGATTATGAGAATCTTTTGTTAAGTTGTAAGTATTTCTTTTTTTTCTATTTGTTTTCAGAATGTACATTTCCATACCAGCTCGAATGAGATTCGTGGCACAGTTCTGTAGTTTCAACTCAAGGGTCGTGCGAATATTGATGTTACGTTAAGATTTTGGTTTCGTGAAGCTGAATTTGCATAAAGAATACAGCTCTTCTACCACTGTATCAACGTCTGAATGTTGTTGAGGTCCATTGTCAATGACTGTATCACATGTTCGGGTAGATGCTATAAGTCATTATGAGTGTTGTGCTATAGTATCTACATGTTCAACTACTAACGTTTTCAAAGGATTTACTTCGAATCGTTTTCCTACATTGTGATAGTCAATGCGAAGATGCAGGTGTTGGCCAAGGAAAGCCTTGTTGGCAGGGTGGTAGATGTGCAGGGGTGGGAGATGGACAGAGGTAGGGGATTGGCAGGGATGGGAGATGGGCAGAGGTGGGTGATGGGCAGGAGTGGGAGATGGGCAGGGGTGGGAGATGGGCAGGGATGGATAGAGTGATGTGATCTAGTGTAGAGTGATGTGATCTAGTGTAGAGTGATGTGATCTAGTGTAGAGTGATGTGATCTAGTGTAGAGTGATGTGACCTTGTGTAGAGTGATGTGATCTAGTGTAGAGTGATGTGATCTAGTGTAGAGTGATGTGACCTTGTGTAGAGTGATGTGATCTAGTGTAGAGTGATGTGATCTAGTGTAGAGTGATGTAACCTTGTGTAGAGTGATGTGACCTGGTATAGATTGATGTGATCTAGTGTAGAGTGATGTGATCTAGTGTAGAGTGATGTGATCTAGTGTAGAGTGATGTGATCTAGTGTAGAATGATTTGATCTAGTATAGAGTGATGTGACCTAGTGTAGAGTGATGTGATCTAGTATAGAGTGATATGACCTAGTATAGAGTGATGTGATCTAGAATAGAGTTATATGACCTAGTATAGAGTTATGTGATCTAGTGTAGAGTGATGTGACCTTGTGTAGAGTGATCTGATCTAGTGTAGAGTGATGTGATCTAGTATAGAGTGATATGACCTAGTATAGAGTGATGTGATCTAGTATAGAGAGATATGACCTAGTATAGAGTTATGTGATCTAGTGTAGAGTGATGTGACTTTGTGTAGAGTGATGTGATCTAGTGTAGAGTGATGTGATCTAGTGTAGAGTGATGTGATCTAGTGTAGAGTGATGTGATCTAGTGTAGAGTGATGTGATCTAGTGTAGAGTGATTTGATCTAGGGTAGAGTGATGTGATCTAGTGTAGAGTGATGCGATCTAGTGTAGAGTGATGTGACCTAGTGTTGAGTGATGTGACCTAGTATAGAGTGATGTTACCCACTATAGAGGGATATGACCTAGGATAGAGTGATGTTACCTAGTATAGAGTGATGTGACCTAGTATAGAGTGATGTGACCTAGTATAGAGTGATGTGGACCTGGTATAGAGTGAATCTAGTATAAAGTGATGGGTACCTAGTACAGAGTGAACCTAGCATAGAGTGATGGGGACCTAGTTTAGAGTGATGTGACCTTGTATAGCGTGATGTGACCTAGAATAGAGTGATATCTAGTATAGACCGTTGTGATCTAGTATAGAGTGATGTGATCTAGTGTAGAGTGATGTGATCAGGTATAGAGTGATGTGATCAGGTGTAGAGTGAGTTGGTCTTGTATAGAGTGATGTGATCTAGAGTAGAGTGATGTGTTTAGGTGTAGAGTGATGTGATCTAGTATAGAGTGATGTGACCTAGTATAGAGTAAATATGACCTAGTATAGAGTGATGTGACCTAGTATAGAGTGATTTGACTTAGTGTAGAGTGATGTGACCTAGTGTAGAGTGATGTGACCTAGTATAGAGTGATGTGACCTAGTATAGAGTGAGTTTGCCTTTTATAGAGTGATACGATCAAGTGTAGAGTGATACGATCAGGTGTAGAGTGATATGATATAGTGTAGAGTGATGTGATCTAGTGTAGAGTGATATGATCTAGTGTAGAGTGATGTGATCTAGTGTAGAGTGATGTGACTTAGTGTAGAGGGATGTGACCTAGGATAGAGTGATGTTACCTAGTATAGAGTGATGTGACCTTGTATAGAGTGATGTGACCTAGTATAGATTGATGTGACCTAGTATAGAGTGATGTGATCTAGTATAGAATGATGTGATCTAGTATAGAGTGATTGGATCTAGTGTTGAATGATGTGATCTAGTGTAGAATGAAGTGATCTAGTATAGAGTGATGTGATCTAGTATAGAGTGATTGGATCTAGTAGAGAGTGGTGTGATCTAGTGTAGAATGATGTGATCTAGTATAGAGTGATGTGACCTAGTATAGAGTGATGTCAACTAGTGTAGAGTGATGTGACCTAGTATAGAGTGATGTGACCTAGTATAGAGTGATACGACCTAGTATAGAGTGATATGACCTAGTATAGAGTGATGTGACCTGGTATAGAGTAAACATGACCTAGTATAGAGTGATGTGACCCTGTATAGAGTGATGTGAACTAGTATAGAGTGATATCTAGTATAGACCGTTGTGATCTAGTATAGAGTGATGTGATCTAGTGTAGAAAGATGTGGCCTAATATAGAGTGATGTGACCTAGTAAAGAGTGATGTGACCTAGTATAGAGTAAACATGACCTAGTACAGAGTGATGTGATATAGTGTAGAGTGATGTGACTTAGTGTAGAGTGATGTGATCAGGTGTAGAGTGATGTGACCTTGTATAGAGTGATGTGACCTAGTGTAGAGTGATTTGACCTAGTGTACAGTGATGTGACCTAGTATAGAGTGATGTGACCCTGTATAGAGTCATGTGAACTAGTATAAAGTGATATCTAGTATAGACCGTTGTGATCTAGTATAGAGTGATGTGATCTAGTGTAGAATGATGTGGCCTAATATAGAGTGATGTGACCTAGTATAGAGTGAGTTGGCCTTTTATAGAGTGATACGATCAGGTATAGAGTGATGTGATCCGGTGTAGAGTGATGTGATATAGTGTAGAGTGATGTGACCTAGTATAGAGTAAACATGACCTAGTATAGAGTGATGTGACCTAGTATAGAGTGATGTGACCTAGTGTAGAGTGATGTGATCAGGTGTAGAGTGATGTGACCTTGTATAGAGTGATGTGACCTAGTGTAGAGTGATTTGACCTTGTGTAGAGTGATGTGACCTAGTATAGAGCGATGTGACCCTGTATAGAGTGATATGAACTAGTATAGAGTGATGTGACCTAGAAGAGAGTGATGTGACCTAGTGTAGAGTGATATGATCTAGTGTAGAGTGATGTGATCTAGTATAGAGTGATGTGACCTGGCATAGATTGAACCTAGTACAGAGTAATGGGGACCTAGTATAGAGTGATATGACCTAGTGTTGAATGATGTGACCTAGTATAGAGTGAATCTAGTATAAAGTGATTGGGACCTAGTACAGAGTGAACCGAGTATAGAGTGATGTGGACCTAGTGCAGAGTAATGGGGACCTAGTATAGAGTGATATGACCTAATATAGTGTGATGTGGACCTGGTATAGAGTGAATCTAGTATAAAGTGACCTAGGACCTAATACAATGTGAACCTAGTATAGAGTGATGTGGACCTAGTATAGAGTGATGTGACCTTGTATAGCGTGATGTGACCTAGTATAGAGTGATATCTAGTATAGACCGTTGTGATCTAGTATAGAGTGATGTGATCTAGTGTAGAGTGATGTGATCAGGTGTAGTGATGTGATCAGGTGTAGAGTGAGTTGGTCTTGTATAGAGTGATGTGATCTAGTGTAGAGTGACGTGATCACGTGTAGTGTGATGTGGTCTAGTGTAGAGTGATGTGATCTAGTATAGAGTGATGTGATCTAGTATAGAGTGATGTGATCTAGTGCAGAGTAATGTGATCTGATATAGAGTGATGTGAACTAGTATAGATTGAGTTGACCTTGAATAGAGTGATGTGATCTAGTATAGAGTGATGTGATCTAGTATAGTGTGATGTGACGTAGTATAGGGTGATGTGACCTAGTATAGAGTGATGTGGCCTAGTGAAGAGTGATGCGACCTAGTATAGAGTGATATGACCTAGTATAGAGTGATGTGACCTAGTATAGAGTAAACATGACCTAGTATAGAGTGATGTGACCTAGTATAGAGTGATGTGACCTAGTATAGAGTGATGTGATCTAGTGTAGAGTGATGTGATCAGGTGTAGAGTGAGTTGGTCTTGTATATAGTTTTGCGATCTAGTGTAGAGTGATGTGACCTAGTGAAGAGTGATGTGACCTAGTATAGAGTGATTTGACCTTGTATAGAGTGATGTGACCTTGTATAGAGTGATGTGACCAAGTGTAGAGTGATTTGACCTAGTGTAGAGTGATGTGACCTAGTATAGTGTGATGTGATCTAGTGTATAGTGATGTGATCAGGTGTAGAGTGCTGGATCAGGTGTAGAGTGAGTTGGTCTTGTATAGAGTGATGTGATCTAGTGTAGAGTGATGTGATCAGATGTAGTGTGATGTTATCTAGTGTAAAGTGATGTTATCTAGTATAGAGTGATGTGATCTAGTATAGAGTGATGTGATCTAGTGCAGAGTGATGTGACGTAGTTTTGGGTGATGTGACCTAGTATAGAGTGATGTGACCTAGTATAGAGTGATGCGACCTAGTATAGAGTGATATGACCTAGTATAGACTGATGTGACCTAGTATAGAGTAAACATGACCTAGTATAGAGTGATGTGACCTAGTTAAGAGTGATGTGACCTGGAATAGAGTAAACATGACCTAGTATAGAGTGATGTGACCTAGAATAGAGTGATGTGACCTAGTATAGAGTGAGTTGGCCTTTTATAGAGCGATACGATCAGGTGTAGAGTGGTGTGATCAGGTGTAGAGTGAGTTGGTCTTGTATATAGTTATGCGATCTAGCGTAGAGTGATGTGATCTAGTATAAAGTGATGTGACCTGGCATAGATTGAACCTAATACAGAGTGAATGGGACCTAGTATAGAGTGATATGACCTAGTGTTGAATGATGTGACCTAGTATAGAGTGATGGGGACCTAGTACAGAGTGATGTGGACCTGGTATAGTGTGATGTGGACCTGGTATAGAGTGAATCTAGTATGGAGTGATGGGGACCTAGTATAGAGTGATGGGGACCTAGTATAGAGTGATGGGGACCTAGTATAGAGTGATTGGGACCTAGTATAGAGTGATGTGGACCTAGTATAGAGTGATATGACCTAGTATTGAATGATGTGACCTAGTATTGAATGATGTGACCTAGTACAGAGTGAACCTAGTATAAAGTGATGGGGACCAAGTACAGAGTGATGGGGACCAAGTACAGAGTGATGGGGACCAAGTACAGAGTGATGGGACAAAGTACAACGTGAACCTAGTATAAAGTGATGGGACAAAGTACAGAGTGAACCTAGTATAAAGTTATGGGGACCAAGTACAGAGTGAACCTAGTATAAAGTGATGTGGACCTAGTATAGAGTGATGAGGATTTGGTCTTCTCAACTGGCCAGGGTCCGCTGGTTTGGTGACAGAATCCCTGGTTCGGCCTGGTCAGAATGCTTCTTCTGAAAGCAGCGGATCTTTCAGTTTCAATTGTGGTACCGTTTTTATATAAGTAGTTTGTGCAAATTGTGTGAATGGCGGTGCTACTGATAGGGCAGGACAATGTTCATCCTCTTCACGGTGACATCCCTGATTTTCAGTGGTCCATTCACATAATTTTAGATCTAATTTGCCATTTATACCAAATGGATTTTTTCAGCGGATAATCAAGACTGGTTATTCTCTTGAATTGACATTTGTGTTTATTTCCGAATCAATCTAACATGCCTTGGTAGCATTAAAATGCAATTCAAAGGGACATTGGACAATCCAATCACTGACTCACTAATATATGTTGTGTTCGTTCCCTACAGATAGCCAGTTAAAGGCTCTCGCACACAAGAAGGGGATGGACCTCAAACCAGGAGAGGCTGATTACGATGTCCATTTTGATGATCCCGTCGCCGATGACGATGTCGGTGCAGTCAATGTCGGTGAAAAGCAGCTTCCGAAGGAAAAGCCTTCTGATGATTCACATGGGAAGGGATTTCACATCACGGAATATTGGCAGGCAAGCTCTCTGTTGAAATGGTATGTGTAATTCAGTTTGTGAGGTGAGGTGAGGTGAGGTGAGGTGAAATAGGGTTAACGTCGCGTCCTAGATTATTGCACTTATATAGCGACGTGCATGTACGTGTATGTGTTTGTGTGGCTGCTTGTACTAGTCGGGACTGATGCCGATTTATAGTGCTAGCTCACTGAGATACCATGCCGCAGTTCAACATGAATACCCCACTCAGACACAGTATACTGACTCCGAGTCGACCAGTCCTTGTTCTAGCCCCATAATGCCGAGCGCCAGACAGGGTAACAACAAGTACCATCTTTTAATGACGTGGTCGGGGATCGAACCCTGGACCTTCCGTTCTCCGGGCGGACGCTCTACCATTAGACCACGGAGGCGGTCGTCAGTTTGTGAACATGCTGATCAAATGCGTCAGTTTGTATGTGAAAGTAGTGGGCGTTAGGCCTAAATGTTTATGTACACGCATACATAGCGAGATACCTAAAGCGATGCCAGTCTTAGACGTTTAGTTACACTCCGATCGGTCCAATACCTTGAATGCCACTTATATGAAGAGGCATGGTGCTGACATATCTAAAAATATGATCGAAGCCAATCCGGAATTCGATCCTGAATTTCTGACGTGCAAGGATAATACTCTGCACAGAGAATTCTGGTATCTTAGACGACCAGTTCGTGGTAAAATAAAACATATATAACCCGTATGTAGGAAAACCTGGTTATCTCGAACCTCGACCGATAAGAATGAGTTTGCGAGTTGGGTTTAAGGGCATGAAAAATACTTCAGCGGTTAGGTAAACAGTGTATCAAAAGGAGTGTATCAGATAATGGATATAAAGTTATTCTATGGAAGTTACAAGTGACAAGTTTATTGCTTTGAGGCCACATGGCCTATCGTGCTGCATGCAGTATGTCTATACTATACGTCCGTTCTGTGGAAGGTAGTCTATGGTGTCCTGATGCCAACCCGAACGTCGTAACAAGTTAACATTAATGTTATAAATTACACCGATTTACTCATTTAGACAGATATGTCTCTATTCGGGATAAACATGAATATGGGTGGGCTTCGAACTACGTGGCAGTTTCCTATGGTCGGAAAACTCGACGTGATGCAGGTCGTAGATCTTTTGTTGATGCATGGGTATGGCGCTGACAAACCTGGAAACATGATCAGGGCCAACTTGGATTCGAACCCACAATCATTGGTTTCGGGACACAACTCTGCACAGTGAACTGGTGTGCCTTAAACTACTTGACCACCCGTGACCTCTCTGAGATTCGAACCAATCTATGAAGATGCACTTATATTACTACAGTCGCGACCAACGACAGGCTCGGATTATCCGTCTGGCACAGTGTTCCGAGGAGAAGATAACGAAATGGGAGAATTCAGATACGGGCGTTGTCTTGTGTCGGTGTTATTTTCATGTACTCAAAACCAACGATGATTTTAAGCAGGCCCCATAGTGATCAGCAGATCGCACATCTAGGTCACAGCTTGAAGGATCTGTTATGGACCAATGACCTTCAACAATGCCCATTCTCGTCGCTTTGAATAGCTTTGAAACCAAACGCTACTTCATGACAAACATCATCTTCTCATCAGCTTGAGAGATTCTATGAAATTATTTATAAGTATATATACATCATAGAAACGTACGTACATACATACATACATACATACATACATACATACATACATACATACATACATACGTACACACACACACACACACGCACGCACGCACGCACGCACACACACACACACACACACATACACACACACACACACACACACAAATATACATACATACATACATACATACATACATACATACATACATACATACATACATACATACATACATACATACATGTAACGGTAATCCGTGACGATAGCGAGCACTAAGATCTGATTTAACTAAGATTGTCAGTCTGCTTGGTGTATAGAGATAATATAGATAGAGTGTGCTATTGTATTTGTTCCACCTCACCAAGCGCACACAGCCTTGCGTGTATCATTTTACCTTTGGTCTAGACTTGAACAAGCCTATAAGGCAATAATTATCAGTTTAAATGATATGTTGTAGATTAAATAAACAGTAAGATCAATTTTTCGCTATAGAAAACTGGTGTCCGCTTATCTAGACTTGCCTATTAAAGGATAGAGTCACTGTACATCCAAAGACACCAAAGACAACAGCCTTGAAGCAAGGCTATCGTTAGTCATGCGACCTCTGATCCCAAAGACACGTCATTGAATACTACCTATAGTTACCGTATTATACCCGGTCTACAGCTTGTGTGGTATATGCATGTATACCAATGGGTATACGTAAACACATTTAATACTACCTATAGTTGCCGTATTATACCCGGTCTACATCGTGTGTGGTATATGCATGTATAGCAACGAGTATATGTAAACAAATTGAATACTACCTATAGTTACCGTATTATACCCGGACTGAAGATTGTGTAGTATATGCATGTATAGCAACGAGTATATGTAAACACATTGAATACTACCTATAGTTACCCGGTCTACAGCTTGTGTGGTATATGCACATATACCAATTGGTATATGTAAACAAATTGAATACTACCTATAGTTACCGTATTATACCCGGACTGAAGATTGTGTAGTATATGCATGTATAGCAACGAGTATATGTAAACACACTGAATACTACCTATAGTTGCCGTATTATATCCGCACTGAAGATTGTGTAGTATATCCATGTATAGCAATGAGTATATGTAAACACATTGAATACTACCTTTAGTTACCGTATTATACCCGGTCTACAGTTTGTATAGAATATGCATGTATAGCAGTGGGTATATGTAAACACATTGAATACTACCTATAGTTACCGTATTATAACCGGTCTACATCGTGTGTGGTATATGCATGTATAGCAACGAGTATATGTAAACAAATTGAATACTACCTATAGTTACCGTATTATACCCGGACTGAAGATTGTGAAGTATATGCATGTATAGCAACGAGTATATGTAAACACATTGAATATTACCTTTAGTTACCGTATTATACCCGGTCTACAGTTTGTATAGTTTATGCATGTATAGCAATGAGTATATGTAAACACATTGAATACTACCTATAGTTACCGTATTATAGCCGGTCTGCACGTTGTGTAGTATATGCATGTACAGCAATGAGTATATGTAAACACACTCAATACTACATATAGTTACCGTATTATAGCCGGTCTGCGCGTTGTGTAGTATATGCATGTATAGCAATGAGTATATGTAAACACATTGAATACTACCTTTAGTTACCGTATTATACCCGGTCTACAGTTTGTATAGTTTATGCATGTATAGCAATGAGTATATGTAAACACATTGAATACTACCTATAGTTACCGTATTATAGCCGGTCTGCGCGTTGTGTAGTATATCCATGTACAGCAATGAGTATATGTACATATTTTGCTGAATCACTGAATATAACTCATTTCCATGTAACATTTGTTTTTTCTGACCTTAGGGACTGGGAGAAACCGCCGGAGTACACATGCCGGAATATATCCAAGGCAGGGATATATGCAGTGTGTCAGGACCCGCCGTACACCGTCAAACCGCCCTGCATCGCATACTCATTCGGGTAATTGTCGAGCTTTTCTGGAGTTCGGATTCTGTGTATATCAAACCGAGACATTCGTTCACTGTGGGAATCTTTAATTCCCTTGGTGAGGTGATCGTTCATTATTTTCTAACTGCTGCACAGACCTCCAGTCATGGAGAGTGAGTGAGTGAGTATGGTTTTACGCCGCTTTTAGCAATATTCCAGCAATATGACGGCGGGGGACACCAGAAATGGGCTTCACACATTGTACCCATGTCGGGAATCGAACCCGGGTCTTCGGCGTGACGAGCGAACGCTTTAACCACTAGGCTACCCCACCGCCCCACCAGTCATGGAGAAGTCATGATCATCTGTTGATTCCGACAGTGGAAAGTAGATCTACTTCCGGAAACAACAGATTGAGGTGATTTCTCAGACTTGACCCATGTTATGGCTGATATTATAATGTCTCTATAATGTTGAGTAATGACCTGTAGTTGTGTTGGGTTCACTTGTTTAAATGCACGTTTGGAATGAAATGTATTCCAGGCTCAAAGTCAACTGCAAGAACAATAGTGTGACGTCATCATAATGGTTTAACTAACGGTCATTGAAGTTGGAATATGCATTCGTCACCACTCGCCACTTTCCGTAACCTGCAAGAAGTCTCGTCCCCCTAACGACGAATGTTTGCGAAGAAACGACAAATCAATCAGAATGCGCGTATGACTTCAAGTACTTCGGTCAAAGAATCCTTTTAAGGAAAATGCTTTGATTTTTACATAGGTCTTGCATCTATACAAATACCCTAGAGACAGTTAATTATGTGCAATCTTCTTTATAAATACCGGAAGTGTTTTAATAGAATATATATGACATGGGGGAAATATACGTGAATCATAAAGCAACGAGTTGAAAATTCTTTTAACTATGCCCGTTTGCGCGAAGACGGAACCCAGTCGCAAAAATGGCCACGAGTCGCTATTCGGCTTGTCCCGGAATGACACGAGTTGGTCACGAATGTCGCGTGTGTTGAAGGTACTGCACAGATTACATGCATTTAATACTGCCAGTCCCCGTCTAAGGGGCAGAGTTTCTGCATGTCCAACACAACTGTTGTGGATAAACAGCTTTGTTTAAACGTGCGATCCATTCCAACAATTGTCCTTACTATTTTGCCCCTTACGCCCGTAATCTGTTTCGGCAGATATCCGGGACTGATCATTATCTGGTGTTTTTGTTTTGAATTTACATCACTTTTAGCAGGACGAAATAGTTCAGGTACAATGCAGTATGTGTATTTGTTAAACGTTACTCGTGGTTATTAGATGCCTGAAGTCTTCCTTCAAAGGAAAAACATAATAATATATAATCTTTTATTATATTAACCTATAAAGATAGAAACCTATTTCTATTAGCTTCATAAAATAAACAGGTAAGAACCAAAAAAGAACGTATTCTATTCATAACATTGAGAACATAGCACTTAACTTCCATTCATAATATAATGGAAACTCTGGACTATATTTTGTCTTTCTCACAATAGCGACTCTTTCTAAAAGGTACACTTCTGTATCTATGTGTCAAATAATTTCTGAAGTTCATATTTGTGCTCGTTGGTTGGCCATGAAAATTGACCACGTGGAATAACATCTGTTTTGTAAGATGAGCAATAAAAAAATACATGCCACTTGACAAGATTACTAAATTCCCTAAATGTATTCGCTCCTCCTGTAAAATACATATGTAATAAAGTTGGGGTCACTTTGTAAACAAAAACAAATGTTGTTCTTCAGAGAATAAGTACAGGAAACGATTTTTTAAAATTTGCATATTATATGGAAATATATAGATCATCTGTTTTAAATATGGAATACTTATTCAAAGTTAATTTTCGATTAATATGAATAAACATATTAAGAGTTGGGTATTTAAGGAAGACAAATTGTTTGATTTATAGTCAATCAGAGTTGTAGAAGTGTGCTGTAAATAAAATAACCTTCATTGCATATTGACAGTAAACTAACCCAACTGATTGTCGTCAGCAAATAAGTACAGGGTACGACTTTAAATTGCTCTATTATATGGAAATAGAAAGAACGCTCTGCTTATACATTTTCTATATATACATGATGTTTACATATCGTAGACGATGCAGTTACCGTGTTGTGTATCTGGTGTTTGTCCGAATATCCATACACCAGAAATTCGAGCTGGAGCATGTTTGCATTTGCGTGGTTAAAAGTCGTACCTCAGTTGAAGCACAATTACGTTGTGTTTTCCTCGGACACTGTCCCCAAGAGATCATGAAAACAAATGTAAATGATCAGATATATTTTTGCTTGGAACATCTATGTCAGCGATTTATGAGAAACATTAATTTTAAAATACAAATGTGCTAAAAAGTAGATATATACAGACATAAAAGTCAGCAATGTTTAACAGTATATAAAGGCCTCTGCGTTTAGTTAAAATGTCATGGCAGGTTCTAGCAGTGTGAAAGATAAGATCAGGGTAGGCTTAAATACAGTTAAATATTACTCCATTTGTTAAAATATCACAATCTGGCCACATCTCCCTGCTAGCCTTGATGAGATCCCTGCGCTGATCTGTATCAGAGGACATGTTAAGAGGACGTGGTTCTCATCTTCAATGGTATACATACAGTTAAACAGTCAATTCTCTAAATGAATGTTTTCATATCGTCCGGTTTCAATTCGGAAGGGGCCGCTCCACATCTAAACTTGGACATAGCGCTTCTATGTGCTTTTGGTCGGGGGCAGCTGAAATAACTCTCTAAAAAACCAAAGTTTGCTTCTGCCTGACCCGTTCACTCCAGTTTCCGCCTGGACGTTAGTTTCTCGTGTTATATACTTATTGAAAGCAGCGTTTTGTACAGTCTTAACTGAAAGTATTTTTTCCACAGGAATAGCTGAACTTGTGATATCCGGTATAATATTCTGTAGATAAGCTCTGATTCTAAAGTTCAAGTTCTTGTTGATTTATCCGCCCACATAAATATTTGTTTTTTAATTTTCCTCTCAGTGGTGTATTGTCACGTTTAAGTCAAGGTGGATGAACCACAAGTTATACATGATTATACACTCACCGCCAAGAGAAACGCGAATACCATACATGTTGGTTGATATATGAAGAATTACTCATATTCAAGATATATTAGATAGGTTCGCATCACATGTCACGTCATAGATCCATGACTCGATTTTCACCATTTGTGTCGTGTAGGATTGGCGTGTAAAATTTGGAAATCATGTGAAATATATCGTGATAAGAATAACGACACTCTGTGGTAACACTTGACTGACACATAAGAAACCTCTTCTTAACGTACATGCTTTTCTATATGTTTCTATGGTTCGTGTTTCCTTTGGCGGTGTGTATAATAGAAAAGTTTGTTCCTCGCGTAAAGATGACGATTAACAAGTAACCAATTTGTTGTGGGGCCTGTGAATATGACGGGGTAGAATAGGTCTTCAGCAACCCATGCTTTCCGTAAAAGGTGATTATGCTTGTCGTAAAATCCAGGATCTGGATTATCATTAGGTCTCATATACACACAGGAGATGATTGTGAATCAATGTTATTCTAGAAGAACGTTCACACAACACCTGGCGGGTTGATATGACGAACCTCAACTTTATCTACAACCCGTGAAGATCCGGGGTAGAATTGGTCTTCAGCAACCCATGATTGCCGTAAAAGGCAGTTATGCTTGTCGTAAAAGGCGACTAACGGGATCGGGTGGTCAGGATTTGGAATATTGCTGAGTGCAGCGTTAAACAACAAACAAACAAACAAACAACCAATATGTTGTGGCCGGTATCATTATGCTTCATTTGTCTTCATGTAGGGTCTACACTGAGTGGGAGTTTGACGAAACCATGGGCTTCATGGGCTGTGAGACGCATTCTTTTGATCCAAGGTAGGATTTGCAATGTCATACTTCATGATATGATTTATACAGGTTTCGTCTACCTTACCAGAGTGACACGCCATTTAAACACCCGAGTGTGTGATGTCGTACACAGTTCCATTAAATGGTCACGACTGATTAAATATACAGTTGTATACGCTGACGAGGTCTTTGTGCCGTCTTATTATAACATGACCTTAGATGTCGTCGCCTTCACTATTAACTTCACCTGTTTACTCAGCCATTTACAAACTGTTTCCCACTCTCCCCGACGCTATTGGCCTCCAGATTAAATACTCAACCGCCAAACCCCCTCCACACACACACTTCAACGCCCTTGCCCTTCTGCTCGGTGTTGACAACCTTAATTAATATGGTGAGATTGTCATGAGATAGATATAGATATAACCCTTCAACTTATTTTTTGTTGTGCCATTTTGAAGTACTGTTGTATTTCTTGTCAAATAGGTAAATACTGTTGCAATACTCACTCGATTTTGATGTAGTACGTCTTTTAGCTTTTGTGTCTATTTCGACACATTCTTACTATTCAAAGTGACCTTTTCAGATGTGATATATCAATACTAAATGCTTGATGTAGAACATATATAAATCTCAGACGAGACTCAAAATTACTTCACAAGCTTTACATCATTCAAGGCCTCAGTACAGCTTTCAAAATGTTTAATGGTAGACATGTTGAGGGCATTTCTAAATTTGACGCATCAGGAACAAAAATGGCAAAAAGATGCAATTCCCTGTTTTGACTTATGTTCGAGTGTATTCCACCTGGACATCTATACTCAGTTAACTTCCTAGCATCTGGGGTTGGGAGGAAATGCGTGTTAATTTGACTATGAAAACCTGGTAGGCTAATGTAATTTTTCAGCTAGTTTCAACTTCGTCAATCTTAAACCGGCAGCCTGCTGTACAGAATGTCTTGGTGGTTGTTAAATTCATAAACGTAAGGATATCAACGTTCTTGAAATCGTCATTGTACGAGCAGTGTGCATATATCTTCAACACAACCTGATTCCTGAACTTCCATTTGTCACAGTAGAACATTACCAACTTAACCGTACTATGATATGAAGTTTTTTTATCTCAACAGTCAATTTCAAACCGATCTGAATTATTTAATTGGTTGCACCTGCTCCTAAGAGTATCTAGGGTTTCGGGAGCATCCATTGCATTTGTGGGTGTGGTGGGGTTGGCATTGCCAATCTATTTTTCCCAGCTGAGAGAGATTGCAATGTGACGCTGTAGCGCCCCAGGTTAACCAGCTTAGGTTGTATACTCCCCATGTAGCTGAGAATGATCCAAAGGGTAATAATAATGTAGGTAGTAATAATAAACACCATGTGCAGTGAATGGAATCTGTCGTATTATAAATGTAGTAAGTATTACCCTTAAAGTTCAGAAACAGACCGAAGTGGTACATGGTATGTATGTCTTGCTATCCGCAGCGTGAAGTGGGACGACCACATACATAAGGGCGTTGTGCACTTTCACAAAATGGGCATCGGGGCGGAGGATACCGATGATTACCGACCTGTCCCGGGGATGTACGTCCGAAAACCCCAAGTGTGGAAGATGAGGACCTTACCCTCAATCATGAAGATGCTAGGCCATCAGGATGTAAGTATTGTCGTTGCAGATTCCAACTCTAACCCAGAAACCTCATGATGTTAAATCTTTTAGATGTAGTTACCAGTCATTTTTAAAATTTTTATTGTGTTTTGCCAAACTCGACATGTGTCGTTTTTACTGGAAATGTATACAAAATAATTTAATAAAGAAAGTTCCATTGAAACACAGTTACCCAGCTAGCGACATGTTTAGTCTTATTATGGGACTATGTAATGATAATAATTTCTGGTAAAACTTATTTTCCAAAGTCAAACAATCAACGATTACAAAACTGCACATACATTAAGCTAAATACAATATGGTTTAGGTATACTAGTAGACTAACATTTAGTCTATAAAATCTTATATTACACAATATCCTTCTTGACTCTAATTTTTTTTTAAAACTTCCCTATGCTGATTTCATAGAGCTAGCTAGAGCTGACTAGATTTGCTTTTGTATGCGTTTTTTTCGTAAAATAAATATATTCCAGTCATGGTGCAGGACTAGTATACTAGTAGTGAGTGAGTATGGTTTTACGCCGCTTTTAGCAATATTCCAGCAAAAACACGACGAGGGACAACAATATGGGCTTCACACAATGTACCTATGTCGGGAATCGAACCCGGGTCTTCGTCGTGACGAGCGAACGCTTTAACCACTAGGCTACCAGACCGCCCCAGTATACAAGTAACATCAAATTTCCTTCAAGTTTGGAAGCTCTGACTTTCATACAGCTTGGCCCTTATCCTATGAAGGTTCAGAGCCCAATGAACTCACACAAAGTGACAGACAGACTGAGTCAATTCTTATACTTTTAAAATCACTATTTCATACCTCGAGTGATGTATTGCACATCTTCATGAGGCAAGGGAGTTAACTGATTATAAAGGTTCAGTTTCCACCCTTGCCTAACTTGGTTGGAATTATGGAGTTATATTTTGGCTGGACTAACGAGTCTATGCACAGTCCAATCAGAATCGCTTTAGGAAAATGGCATCCGGTTCGTAAAATGCCGGGCAGATATCTGTCGATTGCAAGATTTGAAAAGCATGTGTACCCCCAACAGATATTTTCCAAATTTTCCATGTTTTTAATCAAGATGCTCACGTTTTCAATGCACTTTGCCAAGTAAGACGTTTTATTACAATATAAATTTTGTATCCGCCATTTTGTTTGAAGCAAATGCATGTGATATGAGAGGTGGAATCTGATTGGTCAATAGGCGAGATAAAGAAGTGACATAACTGGTGGCGCTAAAATCGAGCCAATAAACTTCAGCCTAGTTTGGCAGGGGTTGAAACTGGATTTTTACAGTCAGTTAAGACAGGAAGATTTACTCAATGTATTTAGTTGTGTGACTTCGTGATGACACTGACAGCCTTGCAACAACCAACGGAAACGAGGAATAAAATAGTTTCTCAAAAGGAGAGATCATATGAGTGTCTATATGCAAAAGTTGCATCTTTTGGAGTTTGGTTACGGCAAATAAATTCAATTAATGTCATCATCATGAACCTTGTGGCGATTATAATTGTTCGTCATCATTGATAAATTGGAAGGTGATAGTAAAGATGTGTCAAATAAATACATAGGTACATTTATGGTATGCCGTAGTCTCTTGTCAGTCTACACGCGGATCGAATCCACAGTTTGGATGTGCATTTCTTCCTTTTATTCACGAGGATGGGTTTTGTAGCGAGGATATTTTTGAACGGGCTTCCAGTTAAACTCTGAGTTGTCCCAGTGGTTCCTGAAAGGCTATGTGACCCGTGAAGATCCGGGGTAGAATAGGTCTTCAGCAACCCATGCTTGCTGTAAAAGGCGACTATGCTTGTTGTAACAATCGACTAACGGGATCGGGTGGTCAGGCTCGCTGACTTGGTTGATGCACGTCATCGTATCCCAACTGCGTGGATCGATGCTCATAATGTCAATCGTCTGGTACAGACTCGATTATAGCTGGAATATTGCTGAGTGCGGAGTTAAACAACACACACGCAAACAAAGAAACGAATTAAGTTCAAGGTAAAAGGGTCTCAATGATCAGAAACTACGATTTTGTTTATTTATTTACTCATGCAAGGGAATTCCAAGGGGTTTCCCCAGGAAGTTGGATGCTATCCATAGCGTTTACGTCATTTCATGAATACAGTTTCGTGAAAAGAGTATGAACCTCAGAATATGCCGCTCCAACGCTTATAAAAGTTACACCTCTCGTCAAATTGAAAGACTGTATATCGTGTAAATTTCAAATAAGAACTGGACTGTTTCATCCATTTTACGAGTATCATTCTATAAAATGCAATCAAACGGGATGCCTGGGATTCTATCGAATAAAATATATTGTCTCCGAAACTTCTCGATTTTTTGTCTGTTAAAGAAAAAAGAAATTGGTGCCACAAAAGTTACTTTGTTGCAAGGTGTTTTTCTTAAATACAACCCAGGCTCATAGTTGTAAATATAACAAATTATCTGGTATTGAATCTGTAGCTGAAACAATATCTAATCTCGATACAAAATCCGAAAATGGTGCCGTCCTTTTGTGATAATTGTATTGACTATTCGTCTTCTTTACCAACAATACCAAGTACCGATCAAAACTATTAAACGTTCACATCATCCCTGGCGTGACATTAGCGTGCCAGAATCCTATTCGTGGAACCGAAATGCCGATCAGCCCTGATTATGTTCAGTGATTTGTCAAGATCGCAAGACCTACTTCACTTTGGGATTTCCTCCTACATCCATATTATTATAGAAGTTACATTCAAAAAGGCATGAAACATGACTCACTTTTACGACGTTCTGCCAAACATAAACACATTTGCAGCGTGTCTGGTCGCTTTTTTGTAAGCGTTCACCTGATCTTTACGTGATATAACTGACTTTTACGAATGGAAAACGTCTTGTCTTATGAATGGGAAAACAGGAGTGTTCATTTTCTCGACTGTGCATGACTGTCATTGATTTTTTTTAAACTTAAACAATCCTCCTCCTGTCGCAGCCGTCATTTTACCGGGGCTGCTGTGTGTGACTATGAAACGGAGGACAAATACTTCCTAGTCTCAATACCGTTCGTTTTTCACCTTCGCTAGTGGTATAATAGGGCCCATTGGGGTTCATTTATTATATTAAAATTATATTTATGTCTCATAAGCACATTTTCTTATGATGGCAGAAATCTAAAAGGGTCGTATTCTTATGTCTAATTTGCAAAGATGACGAACGCGTTAATTGTTTTGATAGACTGAATACATTAACTGTTGATAGACATTACAAACTTACAGATAAGAGGGTCGTTTGGCGTACTTCATAATGACAGGTTTATGCTCGCAATCACTGCCAAACGTTCCATCCTGACCTACATGTAAGCAAGCTACATGCAGGCGTGACCATGACGACCGATCGTTACTTCCCGGATGACGAGGGACGGCAGAGTTATGTGGCGACGCCAAGCACCTCATCAGCCTAGTCTCCTGAGATGGTTTTATGATACGTGACATTATTAACGCAAATACATTACCCTTAATAACGATCCATGCTATCATAAAACAATATGCCCCTTTAGACCCCCAATAGGATCCACACACCCATGTCATGCCACGACTAACTTATCAATGTCAAGCTATTTACAGTACTTAAATATATGGAGGAAGGGTTTGGCAGTCGTCTAAGGTGCTGAAATCTGCTGTGCAGGGTTGCGTCCATTGGACACAACCAGAAACCTATGATCGTTGGTTCGAGTCCCGGTTCGCCCCGAATATGTTTCGAGGTTTGTCATCACCATACCCGTGTTCGCTGTTTCACAACAGAGGTAATAGTAAACATCTAGGACCTGCATCACTTCGGGCTCTCCTCCCACATCAGACTCACTCACTCACTCACTCACTCACTCACTCACTCACATATAGGGGGCGGTCGGGTAGCCTAGTGGTTAAAGCGTCCGCTCGTCACGCCGAAGACCCGGGTTCGATTCCCGACATGGGTACAATGTGTGAAGCCCATTTCTGGTGTCCCCCGCCGTCATATTGCTGGAATATTGCTAAAAGCGGCGTAAAACCAAACTCACTCACTCACCCACACTCACATATAGGGACCTCAGAGTACATTTTACACCATTGCCATGACGTCTGTATTTTCCAGAAAGTGATCGACGTCCTGAAGGTGGACGTGGAGGGCTTTGAGTGGTTCATGCTGCAGCAGCTCATTGACACGGGGTTGATGGAACGAGTCAGACAGTTCTATGTGGAGTGGCACCTCATCCGGGACTTCCCTAAGAAAGCCAACTACTTTGATCTGCTTAGAACCTACTACAAGATGAAAGAAATAGGATTCAGGACATTTTCCAATGACTTTAAGTTTAAAGGATACACGGAGAAGAGGTGGAGGCTTCAGTCAGACGCACTTTATGTCAACACCAAATTTGATGCAAATTTGTGGAGATAATTCTTCAAAGTGACGCGATCGGATAATCTGTGGGACATAGAATTGGGAATTTTCATATATTATATGCACATTTATAATGTGTGAGTGCATGAATGAGTGAGTGAGTGGGTGAGTGGTTTTAAGCCGATTCAGCAATATTCAAGCAATATCACATCAAGGTAACCCCTGAGGGTGAGTATTGTTTTACGCCGCTTTTAGCAATATTCTAGCAATATCACCCAAAATGGCTTTAGTGAGTGAGTGAGTATGGTTTTACGCCGCTTTTAGCAATATTCCAGCAACATCACGGCGGGGGACACCAGAAATGGGCTTCACACATTGTACCCATGTCGGGAATCGAACCCGGGTCTTCGGCGTGACGAGCGAACGCTTTAACCACTAGGCTACCCGACCGCCCCAAAATGGCTTTAAGTCAGCATTATGGATGTCACCGTCACCAAGTATCGATGCATCATCGCGATGTCATGAATCGATATAAGACTAAGTGAGGTCACGTGGAAGAGTAAAATAATACTACTTCCTGACTGCCTCGGTTTACAAGCTGTTGTGCGAATTTTGTCACTGCATTGAAACTAATGCATCTTTGGGGTGTATGCAATACGCATGAGATACCGATCACTATGTTCCAGGAAGGGGGAAGGCGACAGCTTCTTTTCTAACTAAATCAAATTCATTTGCTCTAGTTTCGGGACAAGTTTTTATTGAATCCGTGAAAGAAAATTATTTTTCTAGAAATGTTTAATATGTTTTTAAACATATTTGTGTCACATGTGTGCATCTGTGAAGGTTTATTGTATGACCGCTCCAAATGGCATACATTGTCATCAATAATAACAGTGTACAGTCAAGGGCAAATGAGGTGGATATTTTGTATGACAACATAGTTGTCGCCTCTGGTGTAAAAGCTTCTGAGCGAAAATCTGATACACGAGAGTTTAAACTAAAGTTTGCCCATTGAAATCTTCCAGTGGCTAATACACAGTGTCTTTGGGATGGCCCCGGGTTAGAATGAACGTCTGAATGAACATAGGAGAAAATCATTAAAACCGAATGACATCTTCAAATTGTAAAGACAGAGGGTAGATAATAAAGATGAACAATTTTTTTTTTTTAATGTTTCATTCTTATTGATTCTTTTCAAAATGTTTTGTCGCAATATGACTGAAATAATGCCATGCGTCGTTAAAGTTGAACTCACTTGTCAAAATGTTTTCAGAAAACAAACTCTTTTCTTTAGAGTCTAACCAAATAAAATGGTGCCTCAATAGTATAAACATGTAGTAGTAGTAGTGAATGAGTTGGTTGAGCGAATCTTTGAACGGCGTGTCAGTATCATGTTTTGTTTGCTTGTTTGTTGTTTAACACGGCAATATTCCAGCTATATGATGGCGGTCTTTAAATAATAGTGTCTGGACCAGACAATTCAGTGATTCACATCATGGGCATCAATCTACGCGAGTATAATCGCGAGGTATTATTAAATACAGAAGATATTTCAAAGTGACATATATGTGGTAGATGTTACTACAACTACCTGCACGGGTATGGCGCTGAAACGCAAGGGTCCTAATCGGGACAAATCTCGGAGTCGAACTCAGAATCCGCCCATAGTTGCATCTCGCACCCAAGCAGTGGCAGTAGCTTGGAAAAAAATCTTTATTTTTAAATGCACTTGTGTTCAATGTTCATATCACTCATTGTATTATTTTGCCTTTGTATTGCTCACGGATCCGGAAATAAAACCTAACGAGAAGAACAAAATATGACGTTGGTTGTTGTTTCAGTGACATAAGATGTTTTGTTTTGTTGCGTTTGTTCTTTAACGCCGTACTCAGCAATATTCCAGCTATATGACATCCATCTGTAGATAATCGAGTCTGGACCAGACAATCCAGGGATTGACATATAAGCATCGATCTACGCAATTGGGATACGTTGACATGCATCAACCAAGTCAGCGAGTCTGATCCCCCGATCCCGTTAGTCGCCTTTTACGTCAAGCATGGGTTGCTGATGACCTATTCTGTTCCGGGTCTTCACGGGTCCAGTGACATAAAAGAAGGCCTCCTTCTTTTCAGTGCTCTATCGTATCTGTTTAGCCTTCTCCAACTAAAAAGACCATTGCTCTCTGTTGTCAGCTGGTCGCCACGTGGATAAGATATTACTGTATTAGTGTCCGACCAACCGTGCGACCCATTTTGTCGATGTGAGGGCGCGCCATGAGAAAGGGGTTTGCTATGTTTAGAATAAAAGCGAGAAAATCTTTTTCATATTCAATAGAAATCTCTGCATAAAGCAGTCGATGGTACGATTCCGATTATATCATGAACATGTGTTTATGAATTACTATCAAATAGTGATGATACCAGGTGTTCGCGAAAAGGTGAGCGTATCCTGCCCCACCGGTGGCACCCGTCACAAAGACATGCAAAGGCAAGTCAATTGTTCAAAATTGGGAACTGCATCGGACATCATTTTTGTCACTGATGCGTCAAATTTGGAAATGTCCTCCACATTCTACCATAAAACTAATAGCTTCTTTTCAAGGCCGCCCACATATCACGTGTTCTGACACCGAGATAGGCGTGTCCCGAGATCATTGTAAAGGCGAGCTTGGGTGTGCTGAACTCACTTCAACAGATGACATCCCAAGCATGACTCCGCTTGTCTGTTGCCAGCTATAAATTGTGTGTATCCAGCTATAGTGTGCTCCACCCAGCTATAAAGTGAACGAATCCCGTGAAGATCCGGGGTTCAAATAGGTCTTCAGCAACCCGTTCTTGTCGTGAAGGGCGACAAATGCTTGTCGTAAGAGGCGACTAACGGGATCGGGTGGTCAGGTTCGCTGACTTGGTTGATGCATGTCATCGTATTCCAGTTGCGTGGATCGATGCTCATGTTTTCAATCAGTGGATTGTCTGGTCCAGCCTCGATTATTTACAGACCGCCGTCATATAGCTGGAATATTTCCGAGTGCGGCGTTAAACAGCAAATAAAGTTAACGAATGTTGTTTTGCACCGCAGTCTAAAAGATGCTTTACCTCTATATCACGTAAGCGTGCAGATGATCAGATTAACATCTCTCACTCGCCGTCTCAAAATGTGTGGACCACACCAACGAATGGCAGGGTTTTTTTCATATTTGTCGGGTGAACAATTGACTTGCCTTAGCATGTGTTCGTGACGGGGGCCACCGGTGGGGCAGGATACACTCACCTTTTCGAGAACACTTTGTATCATCACTATTTGATAGTAATTCATAAATACATGCTCATGATATATAGTCGGAATTGTAAATCGACTCTGCTTTTAGCAGACATTTCTATTGGATGTAGAAAGGGTTTTGTCGCTTTATTTACAGTCGACATCGATGGAGTGATGTGATCCGCAAGTTCACATCATGGAACTCCTTCATCCTACTACGTTGGTTTGTTTGTTGTTTGATGCCGCACTCAGCAATATTCCAGCTATATGACGGCGGTCTGTAAATAATCGAGGCTGGACCAGACAATCCAGTGATTAATTTCATGAGCATCGATCCACGCAATTGGGATCGATGACATATATCAACCAAGTCAGCGAGCCTGACCACCCGATCCCGTTAGTCGCCTTTTACGACAAGCATAGTCACCTTTTACGGCAAGCATAGTCACCTTTTACGACAAGCATAGTCACCTTTTACGACAAGCATAGTCACCTTTTACGGCAAGCATGGGTTGCTGAAGACCTTTTCTACCCCGGAATCTTCACGGGTCTCATCCTACTACGTACTTTAGTCTGACGTACATCAGTGGTATCCCAATAGGCTCGTTACAGGGAATATATATAACGTCAGAACGTCAGTTGCTATAATTATAACAGGTTGGAAAGCGAGTAAGTACGTGTAATCATGTGTATCTGTAGGAGTAGGCAAGTACATGTACTGGGTCTTCCTCGCACACGTGACGTGACGTTTCTTCCTTCAGGGTCGATAATCTCAGTCATTTAATATAAGCCGTGACAGCAATGTTTCAGATTTGGTGGCAATGTATTTATAGCCATTTTAACAGTGCTGATTCAACAGACTCCATCCGCCATCAGTGTGTGACACAGTCAACCGTCACTCCTTTCAGTATTCAACCTGTGACCCACGCCTCACGCGTAGTCCGACACACTTGACTGATCTCGAAGGGACTGGAAGGCTGGGAACGAGGTGAAGGTGGGTGGGTCAGATTAAGGACGAGGAACTGTGATAATTGAATGAGGGAATATATGTTTGACCCCCCCCCCCCCCCCCACACACACACACACACTGGGGCGGGCAGTGTCAGTGTATGAACCTCGGTAACATCTCGACGTACAGGACCTAGGTGCTTCAACAGACAACTTGTCGTTCGAAATATATCCAGCTTATAATACTTCGGACACAGATCTGTGTTGATGTTATTGTGGTAGCGCACAAATCACGCCAGCTAAGTCAGTTCATCAATCATATGCGGGTTTATCATACCACTAAAAAATAACATAATTATGTATATGAAACACAGTTGACTTGCCCTTGCGTGTGTTTGTGGGGGATGCCACCATTGGGGCAGAGCACGTTCACCTTTTCGCAAACACCTGGTATCATAACTATTTCATAGTGGTTCATGAACACGTGCTCATGATATAGTCGGAATCGTACAAGCGACGCTGCTTTTAGCAGAGATTTCTATTGAATGTGGAAAAGGTTTTTGTCGCTTTATGCCAAGTCAGATTAACAACAGTGATATGAATGAATCGGACACCAGGTGTCCTTTGACAGTTAATTTAATTTACTTCTCTGGGGTTTTATATATTACTTGACACTGGGCACGTGTTTCATTACTATTGGAGTACCAAGTTCACACTTCCGGTCACTGTGTGCATACGACACGCCAACTTAAGTCTTCATCGGAGTGGTCAGGGCGGACGTCGGAGACGTTGAGCAGCTTGATGAAACCAAGGGAGGTGCTGACAGGTGGAGGATCATATACTCAGTAATTCATCATAGTGTATCACATTCGTGTATTAATGAGAAATCTAAAGCATGTGTGATGCACCAACCATTTCACCAATCACCAATGGTTATCTTTCAACCAGCCCCCACCACCACACACACAGTAGTAGCAAGACCAGGGGCTCGTTCGAACCAACGATCATAACTTTCAGCCACGCCTAATGGGCGTAACTCTTCACGGCGAATTGTAGTGAGTGAGTGAGTGAGTTGGATTTAACGCCGCTTTTAACAGTATGCCGGTTATATCACGGCGTGTCAGCTTAATGTGGGAGGAAAGCGTTTACCACTTCGGTGAAACCCACGAGTTCGGGTATGGTGCTGACAAACCTAGAAACATAATCGGGGCGAACCGGGATTCGAACCCACAATCATAGGTTTCTGGCGTAGCCAAGGGACGCAACTCTGCACAGCGAATCGCGGCGCCTTAGACGACTGGGCCACCCGTGCCCACCACGGCGAATTGTAAACCCTACCCCCACCCAAGTGTTGATGAAGTCTTAACACATCCAATAGCTCGTCCTTAAGTTTGTTTATTACTTTGTTTTGTTTTCCGAAAATATAACTCGTTTTGATGACAGTTCTTTAGATTTTACTTGACGGTTCAGTGACCCTGTCAATATCAAGGGTAAGCTTGGTTCATCTGTTGGCAGGTAATCATAATACGTTCCGCTTCGTTCCCCGAGCGTATCAGAAACGACATTTCCCTTGAGTTGAATGTAGCTCAAAATCCACAAGCTTCCCATCTTATAACAAAAGCCGTCAGCTTGGGGTGCACTCAGTCTTGTGTGCAAGCTGACACGTTGACAGTGGGATACACTGAATCAGTCACTCGGAATATCTCCAAACATACCGATCAACAATCCGATCGAATACACCCCGCTTACTCTACGATGAGACGAATCACTTTGGGAAAGCTTTTCATCGGTGTGTCCACCGTGGCATTGACAATATTTGTGTTCGTTTCCTTGAGTGACACAATATCTTCACGAAACAAAAAGGAAATTGACGAATTAGTCCATGCGGGTAAGTCAATATATGATGCTACGTTTCATTGTAATATATAATTTATAAATATTTCACCTGTGAAATCTAGATGTATATGTTACACCCAATCTGTGCAACTCCCCATTGCATGCATTGGACGGGCCGTTTGCCGAATGCGTGTAATGTGCAAACAATTATTTGCTCATTGCATGCAAATGCAAATGTAGCAGGTCGTGGAGTCATCCTACAGATGACATCCTTACCTTGTCAGCCTGCTGACGGGGTTAACCTCTTTGGTCATATGGACAAGACGTCCGACCTCGGATCTGAAGGTCCGTGGTTCGAATCCCATCACGGGACTCGGAACTTTTATGGCCGCTACACAAATATAATTATCAAAATATTTCACAATATGGACAACCAGCTTGTTCATATCACGCAATGGGCAGGTAATTGTTCTGCCCAAAGCACGCAATTGAAATTGGTATTGTTTTACAAATACATCGTGATGCTTATAAGACATTTTGAAATTTTAATAACGTTTATTGAATAAAACGCCCCTGGTCCGTGATTAAACATTCATGCTGGTACTGTGGTATGGATGTGTACACAACATGGCAGACCCGTGAAGATCCGGGGTAGAATAGGTCTTCAGCAACCCATGCTTGCCGTAAAAGGCGACAGTGCTTGTCGTAAAAGGCGACTAACGGGATCGGGTGGTCAGGTTCGCTAACTTGGTTGATGCAGGTCATTGTATCCCAACAGCGTGGATCAATGATCATGATGTAAATCACTGGATTGTCTGGTCCAGACTGGATTATTTACAAACAACCGTCATATAGCTGGAATATTGCTGAGTGCGGCGTTAAACAACAAACAAACAACAAAACAAACGGCATGGTGACTTTGTCGAAGACGTTAAGCAACTTGACGAAACCAAGGAAGGTGCTAACAGGTAAAGGGTTATAATCAGGTGAGGTTTGGGCTTCGAACCCACGGTCGGCTGTCTGGGGAAGCTAAGAAGACAGGCGCTGGCTTCACCAAATCAGGGACGCGTGAATCGTGATAAACAAAGATCGTAGTTTGATTATTTTACAAATGCTACTAAAATGATGAAGTTCTACATGCATATAAAGTATTTACTGTTGCTGTGCTCACTGTACGTCACAATGCCGATCACTTTCGAATGGACAACTTTAAAATATATTCTGCAATTCGGATTACCCTGGGCCTGACCTACATTGTACCTTGTCGAAACAATAGTGGAATCAGTGTGTTAATATACAACTCTAATACTGGAGAAAAAAAGAAATTTTAACTCAATAAATATTTGGCATTCTTTCAATTTATCATATGTGACTATATTACAAGAAAAGAATTTCGAAATTAATAAATGTTTACCAAAACAATATGTGGCCAAAGTAGCGTTGATTATACTGCGTTCTGATCTTTTCCAAGTAATATTTTTATCGGCACCATACCCGTGCTCGTGGGTTTCACCAAAGTGGAAAACGTCTGAGATTTGCATCACTTCTGGCTTTCCTCCCACATGAATTATGCAATGCATTGCTCATACTGCGCTCTGATCTTTTCCAATGTAATATTTTGTCAGCAAAGAAGTAAACGTCTGAGACCTGCATCACATCGGGCTTGCCTCTCACATTAAGCTGACATATCTTGATAAACCGGTGTTCTGTTTAAAGCGGCGTTAAACCAAACTCACTCACTCACACATTCCAGTGTAATATCATCTGAGCATCACCAGTCAAGACATATCTCAGACAGGATCAGGTCTCGGTCGTGGTGACCTCACTGGTTACGTAATACACACCAGCTATCACCCGGATGCACAATGCGATCGTTTCAACTGACATGTACTATTTACGTGTCAAACAAAATTTGCACCACTTGATATGCTTGGCACACACATTTCTATACAAGGAGCGGAGTATTTACATTTCAAGATCAAACTGACATTTAGATTAAGGGATAGTTCTGCTCTGAGATAAACATTTATCGTGCGTTGGACTCTCAAAATGTTTTTTTTTTTAAATTTATCATCAAAATGATCGACATCATATTGTGTAAACATTTCGAAAATACTTACGCGGAATTGGCAGTGGTGGTACTGCAGTGTACTCTTGTGACAAGCGAAAGAGTAGGGGGCGCGATTTGCACATGCTCCGTCAGTATGCAACGTCTTAAGACGGAGTGTGTAGATGTGGGATAAATGGTAATACCCTTGCTGGTCACGCCGGGCATGTAATCGAAACCCATTATTCATGCTATCAACCACTGGCTAGTATTACAAACCACTGGCTAGTATTACAGACCGATGGCTAGTATTATCAACCACTGGCTAGTATTACCAACCACTTGCTAGTATTATCATCCAGTGGCTAGTATTACCAACCTCTTGCTGGTATTACCAACCACTTGCTGGTAATACCCACCACTGGCTAGTATTACCAACCACTGGCTAGTATTACCCACCACTGGCTAGTATTACCCACCACTGGCTAGTATTACCCACCACTGGCTAGTATTACCCACCACTGGCTAGTATTACCAACCACTGGCTAGTATTACCCACCACTGGCTAGTATTACCAACCACTGGCTAGTATTACCCACCACTGGCTAGTATTACCAACCACTGGCTAGTATAACCAACCACTGGCTAGTATAACCAACCACTGGCTAGTATCACCAACCACTGGCTAGTATAACCACCACTGGCTAGTATCACCAACCACTGGCTAGTATAACTACCACTGGCTAGTATAACCACCACTGGCTAGTATCACCAACCACTGGCTAGTATCACCAACAACTGGCTAGTATAACCAACCACTGGCTAGTATAACCACCACTGGCTAGTATTACCAACCACTGGCTAGTATCACCAACCTCTTGCTGGTATTACCAACCACTGGCTAGTATCACAAACCACTGGCTAGTATAACCACCACTGGCTAGTATAACCACCACTGGCTAGTATAACCACCACTGGCTAGTATTACCAACCGATGGCTAGTATTACCAACCACTGGCTAGTATAACTAACCTCTGGCTGGTATTATCAACCAATGGCTAGTATAACCAACAAAGTCAAACTCAGTTACCTAAAGGCGTTCATAGCTGCTCATATATTCAATCGCTGGTTTTCAAAAGATATAGTACAAAACACATCAAAGCTAGAAAATATCAGTAGTCAGTGAAAATTATATGAATGGATCATTGAAAATCAGCGATGACACCAGGTCTTCGCGAAAACGGTATCCATGGCTGCCCTGCCAGTAGAACACGCCGCTCACACAATTTGTATAAAAAAGTAAGTGTTTGCTGTCTGACGCAAGTCTAGGTTCGAATATTTACGGACCACCGTGATATGGCTGCTAGTTAATTCACTCACTACTCAACAAACTACTTCGCAGCTTTGTCAGCTTACATGTCCTGACCAATGGGACAACCCATGCTTGTCTCCCGTGGGGGTTCCGGGTAAGAAAAGAGTTCCCCAGCAACCCATGCTTGTCTCCCCATGGGGATCCCGGGTAAGAATATAGGTCCCAGCTACCCATGCTTGTCTCCCTGTGGGGATCCCGGGTAAGAATATAGTTCCCCAACAACCCATGCTTGTCTCCCCGTGGGGATTCTGGGTAAGGATATAGGTCCCCAGCAACCCATGCTTGTCTCCCCGTAGGGATTCCGGGTAAGAATATAGGTCCCAGCAACCTATGCTTGTCTCCCTATGGGGAATCCAGGTAAGAATATAGGTCCCCAGCAACCTAATCTTGTCTCCCCGTGGGGATCCCGGGTAAGAATATAGGTCCCAGCAACCCATGCTTATCTCCCCGGGGAATTCCGGGTAAGAATATAGGTCCCAGCACCCATGCTTGTCTCCCCATGGGGATTCCGGGTAAGAATATAGGTCCCCAGCAACCCATGCTTGTCTCCCCATGGGGATTCCGGGTAAGAATATAGGTCCCCAGCAACCCATGCTTGTCTCCCTGTGGGGATCCCGGGTAAGAATATAGTTCCCCAGCAACCCGTGCTTGTCTCCCTGTGGGGATTTCGGGTAAGAATATAGGTCCCCAGCAACCCGTGCTTGTCTCCCTGTGGGGATTTCGGGTAAGAATATAGGTCCCCAGCAACCTATTCTTGTCTCCCCGTGGGGATCCCGGGTAAGAATATAGGTCCCAGCAACCCATGCTTATCTCCCCGGGGAATTCCGGGTAAGAATATAGGTCCCAGCACCCATGCTTGTCTCCCCATGGGGATTCCGGGTAAGAATATAGGTCCCCAGCAACCCATGCTTGTCTCCCCATGGGGATTCCGGGTAAGAATATAGGTCCCCAGCAACCCATGCTTGTCTCCCTGTGGGGATCCCGGGTAAGAATATAGTTCCCCAGCAACCCGTGCTTGTCTCCCTGTGGGGATTTCGGGTAAGAATATAGGTCCCCAGCAACCCGTGCTTGTCTCCCTGTGGGGATTTCGGGTAAGAATATAGGTCCCCAGCAACCTATTCTTGTCTCCCCGTGGGGATCCCGGGTAAGAATATAGTTCCCCAGCAACCCGTGCTTGTCTCCCTGTGGGGATTTCGGGTAAGAATATAGGTCCCCAGCAACCCGTGCTTGTCTCCCTGTGGGGATTTCGGGTAAGAATATAGGTCCCCAGCAACCTATTCTTGTCTCCCCGTGGGGATCCCGGGTAAGAATATAGGTCCCAGCAACCCATGCTTATCTCCCCGGGGAATTCCGGGTAAGAATATAGGTCCCAGCACCCATGCTTGTCTCCCCATGGGGATTCCGGGTAAGAATATAGGTCCCCAGCAACCCATGCTTGTCTCCCCATGGGGATTCCGGGTAAGAATATAGGTCCCCAGCAACCCATGCTTGTCTCCCTGTGGGGATCCCGGGTAAGAATATAGTTCCCCAGCAACCCGTGCTTGTCTCCCTGTGGGGATTTCGGGTAAGAATATAGGTCCCCAGCAACCCGTGCTTGTCTCCCTGTGGGGATTTCGGGTAAGAATATAGGTCCCCAGCAACCTATTCTTGTCTCCCCGTGGGGATCCCGGGTAAGAATATAGTTCCCCAGCAACCCGTGCTTGTCTCCCTGTGGGGATTTCGGGTAAGAATATAGTTCCCCAGCAACCCGTGCTTGTCTCCCTGTGGGGATTTCGGGTAAGAATATAGGTCCCAGCAACCTATTCTTGTCTCCCCGTGGGGATTCTTGGTTAGAATATTGGTCCCCAGCAGCCCAAGCAGACTATGACGCGATCGGATGGCCTGGCTCGCTGACGAGGCTGATGCACGTTATCGCACCCCAACCGTGTGGATTGATGCAACCGATGTCAATCAATGGTTTGTCTGGTCCAGACTCGATTTTTATAGACCGCCGTCATGCAGCAGGAATATATTACTAAAAGCGGCATAACCCCCCCCCCCCCCCCCCCCCCCAAACATCAACCAAACAAGCAAAACATTTTCCCCGACACTGGCTGAAACTGTGCAACGAGTCCAGGTGTATAATCTTTAGAATGTGACCAATATTACCCAAACCTATTGAACAATGTTTCAGTTCAGAGATTGCGGAAGCTTGCCAAGACCAAAGGTATTCATGTCCAGGAAGAGGGAACCTACCCGGCTGCACCAGGCACGGGGGACAAAGTCACTGGCAGGGGCGAACCAAATATATCCGAGAACCTTCAGGGTGGCTCCAGTTTCCGGATAACTGAGTACTGGCAGGCCAGTTCCCTGATAAAATGGTCAGTATGGCAATAGAACGTTCCACACAATTTCATATTGAAATGGGGGCACGGGTGGCCAGTCGTCTAAGGCGCCGCGATTCGCTGGGCAGAGTTGCGTCCCTTGGGTACGCAAGAAACCCGGTTCTCCCCGATTATGTTTCAAGGTTTGTCAGCACCATATCCGTGCTCGTGGGTTTCACCCAAAACATGAACCAGACGCTATGCAGAGTTACGCCTCCTAGGTGTCCTTTGATCGAATCCTAGATTGAACTGATAGGGTCCTTTCTTTGTAAGTATCACCATACCCGTGCTCGTGGGCTTCACTGAGGACCTGATCGTTTAAGATTAAGGATTGTAGTCCCACTAGACACTGTATGAAATACTTAAATGCGGCTTTTATCCAAACTCATTCAATCAACGAAGTGCAAACTGGGGGTAGTGGGTTAGCCTAGCGGTTAAAACAATCGTTCGTCACGCCGATTGCCCGGGTTCGATTCTCACATGAGGAACCCATTCTGCTGATACTGATGGAATATTGCTAAAAACGGCGTAAAACAATTCTCACTACCTCACTCAACCTGTGTGGGTACCACTGTGCCATTAGGTGCCATTAGGATTACCATTAGGTCTCATATACACACAGGAGATGATTGTGAATCAATGTTATTCTAGAAGAACGTTCACACAACACCTGGCGCTTTTGATATGACGAAGCTCAACTTCATCTTCAACCCGTGAATATCCGGGGTAGAATTGGTCTTCAGCAACCCATGCTTGCCGTAAAAGGCAGTTATGCTTGTCGTAAAAGGCGACTAACGGGATCGGGTGGTCAGGCTCGCTGACTTGGTTGTTGCATGTCAATGTATCCCAAATGCGTAGATTAATGCTCATGATGTCAATCACTGGATTGTCTGGTCCAGACTCGATTATTTACAGACTGCCGCCATATAGCTGGAATATTGCGGCGTTAAACAAAAAACAAACAAACTTTATCCACATGTCTATTTTCAGGGATTTTGAGAAACCGCCAGAATATGACTGTAAGAATAAATCCTCGGCCGGAATATACTTCATCTGCCAAGATCCTCCATTTACCATCAAGCCACCCTGCATCGCATACTCCTTTGGGTAAGTCTTGTAGGGCTGTAGCCAGCTTTCAGGTAAGCTTGGCGGTGGGGTAGCCAAGTGGTTAAAGCGTCACGCCGAAGACCCGGGTTCGATTTCCCTACATGAGTAAATTATGTAAAGCCCATTTCTGGTATCCCCTGCTGTGATATTACTGAAATATTGCGACGTAAAACCATACTCACTCACTCACTTTTGAGTAAGCTCTATACTGCAGATGCCACGTTAGGTATTGATTATAAGTTTATGAATGTACACGCGTAGTATCTTGTATCGGATCTAACTGTATGTTTCTGTTGTCATCATGTCAACGATTTCCTCCCTATGTCAAACCGCCTCCGTGGTCTGGTGGTAGAGCGTCCGCCCGGAGAGCGGAAGGTCCGGGGTTCGATCCTCGGCCGCGTCATACCAAAAGACGTTAAGATGGTACTTGTTGTTACCCTGTCTGGCGCTCGGCATTAAGGGGCTCAAACAAGGACTGGTCGGCTCGGAGTCAGTATACTGTGTCTGAGTGGGGTATTTCATGTTAAACTGCGACATGATATCTCAGTGTGCTCGCACTATAAATCGGCATCACTCCGGATTAGTACAAGCAGCCACACACACACGTGCATGCACGTCGCTATATAAGTGCAATAAACTTGGACGCGACGTTAAACCCAATTTCACCTCACCTCCTATGTCAAACTACCTGGCAGAAGAAAGTAAACACGTGAATATTGGATGGGACCAAAATAGTAAATGTTATCAGAACGTTACAAGGATGAAAACAGCCGCTTCAATCAAACCATCACCCATTGGTGTATATTTTCTTTTGCCAGGCAGTTTATTTTAGTCTTATACAAAGCAAAGGCTGGGCTCCTGTCTATTAGTGTGAAGAAGCGCATACGTGGCTGCTTGCTTAAACGTGTAACCAGTTACGGTATACACCTACATTGTCTTCTTCTGGGTCTCAAAGGATGCCACCTTCTAGATCTCAAAGGATGCCATCTTCTGGGTCTCAAAGGATGCCATCTTCTGGATCTCAAAGGATGCCATCTTCTAGATCCCAAAGGATGCCATCTTCTGGGTCTCAAAGGATGCCATCTTCTGGGTCTCAAAGGATGCCATCTTCTGGATCTCAAAGGGATGCCATCGTCTGGATCTCAAAGGATGCCATCTTCTGGGTCGCAAAGGATGCCATCTTCTAGATCTCAAAGGATGCCATCTTCTGGGTCTCAAAGGATGCCATCTTCTGGGTCTCAAAGGATGCCATCTTCTGGGTCTCAAAGGATGCCATCTTCTGGGTCTCAAAGGATGCCATCTTCTGGATCTCAAAGGATGCCATCTTCTAGATCTCAAAGGATGCCATCTTCTGGGTCTCAAAGGATGCCATCTTCTAGATCTCAAAGGATGCCATCTTCTAGATCTCAAAGGATGCCATCTTCTGGATCTCAAAGGATGCCATCTTCTGGGTCTCAAAGGATGCCATCTTCTGGATCTCAAAGGGATGCCATCTTCTGGGTCTCAAAGGATGCCATCTTCTGGGTCTCAAATGGTGCCATCTTCTGGATCTCAAAGGATGCCATCTTCTGGATCTCAAAGGATGCCATCTTCTAGATCTCAAAGGATGCCATCTTCTGGGTCTCAAAGGATGCCATCTTCTAGATCTCAAAGGATGCCATCTTCTGGATCTCAAAGGATGCCATCTTCTGGGTCTCAAAGGGATGTTAGCTTTACACAACGCCGATCAACGTTTTAGGTCTCGACGTTCAAGTTATAGGAAATAACCACTTAAATATTTCTTTTTTTCAGTGTCTATACGAAATGGGCGTTTGAGGAAACTCTTGGCAGAATGGGATGTGACACACATTCGTTTGATCCCAGGTACAGTGATGGTGAACGTAAAAATATGAATATTCCTTGGACACATTTTATTTCTCAAAACTCGGACTGTTTGATAAACACCACTCACACGCTCGCTAACCCACACACTCTCTCACACACACACTCACACACATACACTCACACACATACACTCACACACACACTCACACACACACTCACAAACACACTCACAAACATTCTTACCCATACACTCTCTCACACACTCATTCTTACGTGGCAGTCATGCCCTACTATCCGCCCAGGATACAATTTCAGCATTTCAATAAATCACATGACAACATTCTAAATAGTGTAACACAGTTTTGTGACTGGTCGTGCCCTGAAAAGCGACTGAACAGTGATCTTACATCTAACATAGCAGTCCATGCACAGTGCTCTCCCTTGCATTGTGCTCGGCATGTCAGTGACCCGGACACGTTTATCACGTGTTAGCTGCTGTACTGTGAGTGAGTGAGTGAATGAGTTGGGTTTAACGCCGCTCTTAACATTATTCCAGTTATATCACGGCGTGTCAGCTTAATGTGGGAGGAAAGCCCAAAGTGATGCAGGGTCTCAGACGTTTACCACTTCGGTGAAACCCACGAGCACGGGTATGGTGCTGACAAACCTAGAAACATAATTGGGGCGAACCGTGATTCGATCCCACAATCATAGGTTTCTGGCGTGTCCAGGGGACGCAACTCCTCACAGCGAATCGCGGCTCTTTAGACGACTGGGCCATCCATGCCCCCAGCTGCTGTACTGAACGCACACTCGTATATGTAAAATGAGTTTAAAAACACTTCTGGGGACTTGTCACGATGCTGTTGGCTGGTATCAGCTGTTGTCTGTTCACAATGCTGTTGGCTGGTATCAGCTGTTGTCTGTTCACAATGCTGTTGACTGGTATCAGCTGTTGTCTGTTCACAATGCTGTTGACTGCTATCAGCTGTTGTCTGTTCACAATGCTGTTGACGGATATGAGCTGTTGTGCTATTAACTACTGATATGTTTCGGCTATAATCGCTTACCCGAAGACAGCCATGACGTAGTATTGTTTTTGATTAAACAAAAGTAGAATGAAACTAGCGTTGATTGATAACATGCATATCGTGCCGGGGGCGTTACTTGTTACTCATGCTATCAACCACTAGTCTGCCCGGCTCAGATTTTATTTTCATGGACACCTGTGGTTCAGTTGGAATATTGCTGACTCCGGCGGAAAACAATATTTACTCCACTTCTTACCGTTTTCCTTCCACATGGAGCTGACACACCCTGATATATACAACTTGTATTACATCCACGTGCTTGTACACCATTTGTACAAGTACACATTGCGTCTTACATGTGCAAGTCACTGTCTTCATGTATTGTAAATGCTGATTTACTCATTTTGTTTCAATATGTTGTCTGTATATAACATGTGAAACTGAAATATAATAGAAGTAACTTAAAGATGTTTTGCTTTCATTAAGGACTAAACATACAAACTGGTTTTCAGACAAACGCAAACACATATTGAAGTCAATTCTTTTAAATTAATAAATCAACAGTGATAACTTCACAGACTGTTTATTTTATCATACACACACACACACACACACACACACACACACACACACACACACACACACACACACACACACACACACACACACACACACACACACACACACACACACACACACACACACACACACACACACACACACACACACACACACACACACACACACACACACACACACACACACACACACACACAAATTAGATAATACTAAATCAGTGATTTCTGTCAGCGCAAAATGCAATCTAAGCCCTATTATCTACCAATCAGGAAAGCGTATTATGTTGTTCGTTGCTGGGCATGGCCTAATTTTGTTTCGGTTTATGAATACATTTAAACGCAAAATACATTGTTGGGTTAGGCAATGAAATGTCATGAAAACACTTGCAACTTATCAAAACAATCACAGTAATTAAACGGTTTTGTTAAATATGTTAGCATTCTTATTTCAGTATTTATTTGGGGACACGGGTGACCCAGTCACGTAAGCCGGAACAAGTCGATGTCCCAAGTTGCGTCCCTTGGACACACCAGAAACCTATGATTGTGGGTTCAAATCCCGGTTCGCCCCGATTATGTTTCTAGGTTTGTCTGCACCATACCCGTGCTCGTGGGTTACACCGAACTGGTAAACGTCTAAGACCTGCATCACTTCTGGCTTTTCTCCCATATAAAGCTGACACGCCGCGATATAACTGGAATACTGTTAAAGCGGCGTTAAACCCAACTCACTCACTCACTATTTCATTAAGATCCGGGAAAGAATAGGTCTTCAGCAACCCACGCTTGCCGTAAAAGGCGATTATGCTTGTCGTAAGAGGCGACTAACGGGATCGGGTGGCCAGGCTCGCTGACTAGGTTGATGCATGTCATCGATCCCAATTGCGTAGATCGATGCTCATGATATCAATCACGGGATTGTCTGGTCCAGACTCGATTGTTTACAGACAGTCGTCATATACAGTAAACTACGGTTATAACGAACTCAAAGGGACCACTAATTTTAGTTCGTTATAACCGTAGTTCGTAATAAGCATATATACGGAATAATAAAGCAGTTAGTCGGGACAAAAAAGTAAGTTCGTTATATCCGTCAGTTCGTTATAGGCGTGTTCGTTATAAGCGTAGTTTACTGTAGCTGTAATATTGCTGAGAGCGATGTCAAACAACCAACCAACCAACCAACCAACACTATTGTCAGTGTATCTCTAACACTGAAAACTGCGGGTCTGACGATATGCCACACACGTGTTGATAGGGAACAATCTATTTGCAGTGTGAAATGGGACGACCACATACACAAGGGCGTGGTCAACTTCCACAAGCTGGGCATCGGGGCAGAGGACACCGACACCTACAAGCCTGCCCGGGGGATGTACGTGAAAGAGGATCAGACGTGGAAGATGAGGACGCTGCCGTCCATCATGAAGATGCTGGGTCACGAGGGGGTAGGTTGGATAGCGACATGACGCCATATGGTCCTGCGGTCTGTAGATGACCTCTGATCGGAGTAGGGTAGGCAAAGCAGGATGTCGTAATGTTCGAATCTGTAAACACAGGTTCGTCTGGTTCAGACCTACGGGAAAGTCGAACATTGCACTTGCGGCGTAAAACAAGATTCCGTCGTGTTCGGAGCAGTTTAATGAAGTGATACCTCCCTCCGTTATAAGGAAGTAAGGTGAGGTGAAATGGGGTTTAACGTCGCGTCCTAGAATATTGCACTTATATAGCGACGTGCATGTACGTGTGTGTGTTTTGTGTGACTGCTTGTACTAGTCCGGACTGATGTCGATTTATAGTGCTAGCCCACTGAGATACCATGCCGCAGTTTAACATGAATACCCCACTCAGACACAGTATAGTGACTCCGAGCCGACCAGTCCTTGTTTTATCCCCTTAATGCCGAGCGCCAGACAGGGTAACAACAAGTACCATCTTTAATGTCTTTTGGTATGACACGGCCAGGGATCGAACCCCGGACTTCCGCTCTCCGGGCGGACGCTCTACCACTAGATCACGGAGGCGGTCCCGCTAAAAGGATGTGTAATGGTGATACTATGGAATACTGTAAGGGACATTCTCGCAATCTCGTATTCTCTCGATATCGACCTTTGAAAACAAGCTAAACATCCCAACAGTATTCAACAGGACACCCAAAAAACAGAAGTATGGCTTTAGATACCAAAGCCGTAAACTCGCACATTCATCAAATATTGAAGAAAGTAACACGTCTCGGTAACTTCGTGAGGCGATGGGGTAGCCCAGTGGTTAAAGCGTTCACTCGTCACGCCGAAGACCTGGGTTCGATGCCCAACATGGGTACAATGAAGCTCACTTTTGGTGTCCCCTTCCCGTCATATTGCTGGAATATTGCTAAAAGCGGCGTAAAACCATACTCACTCACTCAGTAACGTTCTGTTGTTCATTTCAGAAAGTGATTGACGTGCTAAAGGTGGACGTGGAGGGGTTTGAGTGGGCCATGATGCGGCAGATGCTAGACACTGGCATCATCCACCGCGTGCGTCAGTTCATTATCGAGTGGCACCTGGTTCGGGACTTCCCGGCCAAGCAGACGTACATGGATCTGCTTCGCCTTTACTACAGGATGAAGGATGCGGGATTCCGCACGTTCTCCGTGGATTTCAGGTTCCCGGGATTTTCTTTGAAACGATGGAGAATACAATCGGATGTGATGTATGTAAATACCAAGTTTAGTCCAAATAGCCAGTAGTTGCTCAGCCTGTATGTTTCAATGGATGGCGTGTTGTACATGAGCTTATGTAAATGATGTGATTGATATATTCGGCTGTTCATGTAGTAATGCCGTGTTTGTTTATTGAATATCAGTTTTTTTCTTAGTTCTATATTGTGATGCAATTGAACATCACACACACACACACATGTATATATCATAACGCCGATCCGGGGAGGGGGAGTGTCAGGGGGGCGCGCTCGTCTCATTGTTTACAATAGCGTACAAAAAACATGTACGTCTTGGACTACACACGGCGATTGTTTACCGATTGAATTGTGTGCATTCCTGTATTATTTGTTTTACTTGAAACCACCTCTTGCCGTCCACCACCTCTGTTAAAAACCTGTATAATATACAGTTAAGCAGAACGTGTATTGGTTTAAAACTGCACGTGTACCCACCCCTGGGGTTTCCTTTACCACACATGCGGAGCACTTAAATTAAAAAAATGGGTCGGGTGATCTACCTTTTTACGACATAGTATATTTACAGGTCGCCGTCATACATATTATTGCAGAGTGTTGAACAACAAACATGTTCTCATATTGTAAGTTAATAGTGTTAATGCCCCATCACACATCCCAAGCGTTTTCTACTATCTGCCGCCCCCAACTGACCCCCCACGTCCTCCCCCTCCCCCTCCCCCTCCCCCTGCCCCCAACTCTCCGCCCACCCCTCCATGCTTCAGTTTTTGTGTTTATGGATGCCAGAATGTACATAATATATTTTATGTATTTGTATATTATAACGATATTTTGCATAGTTTAATATGAATTGGCATATATGATGTATACCGATCTTAGTTAAGCAGAAACTGATTTGATGTCCACATTTGGTAATAAATAGTTCTACTTTGAGCAGCGATCGCAATGCTTTACTGGATGTTAACTGCCTGTAGCTACAGATCCAGCAAGCCAACGAAGCGCTCGTACAATTCACGTCAGGGTATGACTTGTAATTTTTGCAGCCTTGTGATAAAGGGGTGAAAAATTGGGCATGGCATATAAAAGATATGATGTGTACAAATGGTTTTACATATATGTGGTTAAATCCTTGGTCTGTAAATCCTATGTTATTTGTCTCTTTGTTTAAACAAAGACTTACTGATAATTATATACAAACATGGAACTCAGATCTCAATAATAGTAGAAAGTTGATGTTGTACAGAAATCTAAAAGTAACTTTTGGTTATGAACTATATCTCAATATATTACCACAGGGTCTACGAAAATATGTAACAATGATTAGAATATCGAGTCACAAGTTAAAAATGGAAGTTGGACGATATGTCAACGTTATCAAAGCTCTAAGTACTGTGATTATTGTCAAGCTAGAAGTGTTAACGTACTTGAAGATGAGTATCATTTTCTATTAATATGTCCCAAATATAAAGATATCAGAGTAAAATATATACATAAATACTATTGGGAAAGGACATTTGAATTAAAACTAGTTAGCCTGCTACAAACAAGTTGTAAAACACAACTGTTATACATTTCTAAATATATTAAATCCTGCTTACAGTAAATATGAAATCGTGTCCTACCTCCATTGTCAATATACATTTTGGTTGTATCAGTTAGACGAGGGGCTGAAGCCCAAGTCATTTTCATGAATAAATATCTGTTCTGTTCTGTTCTGTTCTGTTATAACTCCCTTGAACCACACAGCAAAGTTGTATATACCCATTAGGCTCCATATATGGTCTTGTTGGAGGAAATATTAGACAGTGTCCATTGGTGAACCTGACGTCAATTGCGGCGCATGTTGCGTCCCTAACGCGTGCCAAGATTGTGGGTTCGAATCCAACTGCGATTATAACCCTTGGTTTGTCAGCACCACACCCGTGCTCGTGGGTCTCACTGACGTGGGGACCGCCTAAGACATGAATCACTTGGGTGTTTCCCTCCACGTTTAATGTACACGGCGTAATTTTAATGAGAAATTTCTCAAAACCGCGTCAAACAGTGTCTGTTCTCAGTGCTGGTAACAGCGAATGAAGCGCTCATACAATCGCCTTAACGCACACAGACGTCATATGTTAAAATAAATGGGTATGTGACAGTGTCAGTGCTAGTCTCATGGGTATATTCAACTTTTCAGATTTGGATAGATCGTAACAACGTTAATGCAAATATCGTGTACAAAATATCGAAAGCTTAGCGTCAATCAAGTTAATTGCACGTTTGTCCTGTATATCAATGTCTAAGGCTGAAACGAAAATAAAGTAGTCGGAGCCTTTATATACAGAGGCTCTATATATGGAGTTGTTGGAGGAAATTAGATCCAATGTTACACGCTTGATCGCACAATCTACCTCCAAAATTACACGCTTGATCGCACAACATGCCCCTGTCTGTCAGCGACCCGTTTCTACGGGCAAATTGACATTTTCCCACACTTCGCAACTATATTGCATTATTGGAAGAATTATGTGGTCAAATGCCTTAAATAAACAATGAAGAGGTCAATATAAATTTCTTGCTTTAGCTAATAACCAATACATAGCTTTCAGACCTTGATTCCTTTAGGCTTTAACTGTCTGATTAAATTTCTATTTTTGTGAAATGTTAAACCTAAATATACATATGTATCAACAATTTTTATTGGTGTATCACCATATCTAAAATACAATATCTTTTTTGTGGCTAGCCCAGAACCAAATATAACTATCTTTGTTTTACTAACGTTGAGTTGAAATTTCCACTTCAAACAATAATCTTTAAAAACATTCAAAGTGTTCTTCAACTGTTCAGGACTTTCGGCTAATAACACAGTGTCATCGGCGAATATCAGCATAAATGTAAGTGCAAATCCTAAAACAACCAAAATTCTAACCCCCTGACAAGCTGAACTACCAAGGTATGACTCAATGTCATATATAAATAAAGAGAAAAGCAGAGGCGATAAATTGTCTTCTTGGTGAACTCCTTTTTCAAAAGCAGAATAAGGATGATTTACTACCCAGAGATGAAAGACATGACTTAATATTATCATATATATTACCTTTAGAATCTTTCCAGATATACCATCGGACAATAATTGAATAATTAAACCTACCCCAAAACATTGTCAAACGACTTCTTGAAGTCAACAAATACAATTTTCTTCTGACTTGAGAGTGACAATTAAACCCCATAAGACAATATTATCTGTCGTTGCGTAGCCCTGAAGGAAGAGTGCCTGAGCCTCACTTAAAATAGTATTACTTTCTACAAAATTAGTGATGCGTTGATTCAGGACTGCCGTAAATAATTTTCCAAGACGTGACAGAATAGTAATTGGCCGGTAGTTTTCCGGGGTTACTCGCCAGTTCGCCTACGCTTCAATACGCCTGCAGGTTTTATGTAGGCGAATGGATCATCCCTATGTCAAAAATAGACTTCCCGATATGTCATTAAAACATTTCAAAGTAGATAAGACAACAGAAACTGACTGTTCATACAGCTTTATCTCACAGCAAAAAGATTAAATTACAGATTGTTTTGTGATCTCAGGTTCTCAGACTGTTAACACAGGTTCAATATTCATTACATTCAAACATCTCACTGCACAAAAGATTCAAGAACTGCTTCTGAACACATTGTCAATGACGGTATGTACATGGATGGTACCTTCTACACATGCCCAAGTTTATGGCTTCAGGTTTATGTGATCCACTGCTTACTACATGACCAGATTTATCATGTTGCCTGTTGCCTGCTTCCAAACAAGTCCTGGCCCCGGGATCAGAGCTACATATGCCAGACTATTCTACTTGAAGATGATGTTGATCTATTGTGACTTGTTATCTGTTGATCACTGTTGTATATTTATTCTATGGTACCTTCTACACATGCCCAAGTTTATGGCTTCAGGTTTATGTGATCCACTGCTTACTACATGACCAGATTTATCATGTTGCCTGTTGCCTGCTTCCAAACAAGTCCTGGCCCCGGGATCAGAGCTACATATGCCAGACTATTCTACTTGAAGATGATGTTGATCTATTGTGACTTGTTATCTGTTGATCACTGTTGTATATTTATTCTATGCATCATGAATAATAAAATCTCTCATATTAATGCCCAGAGTTTGTCAACTTGTTGAATACAAAATGCTCCAGGCCATTCTTCACAAAGGGTAGACGTGGACTATCAGACCATAACGTGTTGTTATAATACTGAAGGCAAAGTGGAGTGTAGGCGCCATGATACCAGTCCGTTGTCCGGGTAGCTTACCCTTCCTTTCTTTTTGTAAATTGGCTTGATGGCCCCAACTAGCCACGTTCTGGGACATGTCCATTTTCTAAGACTACATTACAAACACACGGATGTGACTACATTGTTTAGCGAGTTCCAAACTGAAGGTACCCTTGTTCTATGTGATGTAGTAAAACATATTTGTTAAAATTTTTTTTTTATCATTCTGCATGGTACAAATGTATCAGCTAAAAGCTCCGGCTGTCTGACGAAACCTCGAAAAGAATCATCTATATATAATTTAGATGCTGCAGCGCAAGGAGAACCATAACCAATAATATGAGAAAAACGTACTTTCTTCAATGAAGATCACCAAACTAAAACTGCTAGAAGACATATATATGTCTTGTCGGTCTTTGAAAAGGCAAAGGTTGTCATTTCAAAACAAACAATCAAGAGAACTATTAATCTATTTGGACATTACACGATTGTTTTACCAACGCCAGTTTGTACAATACTGGTGATGCTGACCGAAAGGTCAATGGCATTGCTTCATAGGGCTGATGTTCACGTCTTTGCTTGTGTTTGTGACGGGTGACACCGGTGGTGCATCACCACTATTTATTAGTGATTCATAAAAAAAGAAAAGAAGAGAATAATCATTTGCGGTTATGCGCCGACTTATTTTGGGGTGTAAAATGCAAAACAGTGATAACAATTGTAGGAATGGAATACTGAATATCAGTAATGACACCAGGTGTTCGAGAAAAGGATAAGCATACCCTGCCCTACCGCGGTAGCACCCGCCACCCGCGTCTTAGTAACATTGGGACATGTGTCATCCGGTCATAGACATTGGGACATGTGTCATCCGGACATGGACATTGGGGCATGTGTCATCCGGACATGGACACTGGGGCATGTGTCATCCGGACATGGACATTGGGACATGTGTCATCCGGACATGGACATTGGGGCATGTGTCACCCGGACATGGACATTGGGGCATGTGTCACCCGGACATGGACATTGGGGCATGTGTCATCCGGACATGGACATTGGGACATGTGTCATCCGGACATGGACATTGGGACATGTGTCGACCGGACATTGGCATTGGGGCATGTGTCACCCGGACATGGACATTGGGACATGTGTCATCCGGACATGGACATTGGGACATGTGTCGACCGGACATGGACATTGGGACATGTGTCACCCGGACATGGACATTGGGACACGTGTCACCCGGACATGGACATTGGGACGTGTGTCGACCGGACATGGACATTGGGATATGTGTCACCCGGACATGGACATTGGGGCACGTGTCATCCGGACATGGACATTGGGACACGTGTCATCCGGACATGGACATTGGGACACGTGTCATCCGGACATGGACACTTGGGCACGTGTCATCCGGACATGGACATTGGGACACGTGTCAT